TTTTTCTTATTAATACTTCTGATGAAAATAAATATATTCAAAACCCTGTTGCCAGCATATAATGTACCTTTAATGTCACAATGCTTTGAAGTAAGTGCTGCAAAGTTACTTAATCCTAAATTCTAAGGTACATCTTGTGAGTTTTTATACTCACTAGCAACAGGCTTGCTTTAGATTTATTAGATAGTAATTAGTCAACAGCTTTGAGGCTTTGGTTTGTTGCGCAGTTCCTGCCCACAGAGGAATTTTCTCAGTGCATACTAATTTGTATTTGAAAAATATTTGCTGCTAGTATTACTCACGTTATTATTAAAGGAACTTCAGATTTGTCTGGTGATTTCCAATATCAGATCTGGCTGTTTACCCAGGAGATACCATTGATTGCTGCCTAATTTTCTTGTGTTGGTTTTCTGCTTTTCAGGGGCTCCCAGAATGAGTGGGGAGCAATTAAATGTGCAGAATATTTTTGCATAAAATATTTCTTTTTGAAGTTCTTTCTTGTTAAATCTTCATCTTTGTCATTGCTTCCCTTTTGCTTTTTCCTTAAAAAAAGCTGGAATAGGCAGCACTCAAGGCTGGAGCTCTCTGAATGTGTGTGCTGTTCTTCTCCCTCACTCTCTTCTTTCACTTGGGTTCATGTATATGGCAGTCCACTTGGGAATCAGTGAAAGATTTAGCATACACAACAGTGTTGTGAACAGTGAAGTTTGAAACAAGCCTTAAGTATAGTGTATATGAATGTACACATATGTATTTATGCAGTACACTTATGTATGGCTTTAATCTGAGTTCTGTGAATAGATCCTTGCATCCTTGCAGTTGTTTTTTCTACCCTGGAGGTTTTAAGGTTAATGTTATAGTTTAGAGCCTTGTAGGTATTGTAGTAAAGTGTAGGGGGATACAGTATGGGTAAATGAAGATGTTATAGAATGTATTCTTATCCCTTAAAGAGTTGCAGCTGAACCAATTACTAAAGGTTAGGAGCAAGCCTGATGTTAACAGGCCACACCTGTAGCCAATAAGAAGAGTGTTATAAAAGAGTGGATTGGTGGGAACTGGAGTCAGTTGGCTGCTGTGAGGACAAGGAAGAGTCAGTGCTTAGAGGAGCTCCCTACAAGAAACATCAAGGAGGTACGAAACTCTAGCAATATGGAACCCTTGCAATGTAATGTAATAGAACCTTTGCAATATAATGACAACAGTACAGGACCCGACTGACTGTTTTCCTAGGGTGTAGCAGCTGCTCCTTGCAGAGCAGGAGATGTAATGTTCAGGTAGTAGGGAAGCACTTCCTGTGTGGCAGCCACACATTTCGCCAACTTATCAAAGACAAGTGGTATTTGATGTCTTTCCATATTTTCTGGTGTCTGATTTCTGCATCCGAGTCATAAAATTACCATAGAAGCACAGAATTGTTGGGGTAGGAAAAGCCCTCTAAGTCCAGTTGTTCCTCAGCACAGCCAAGGCCACCACTGCCCCATGTCCCCAGGTGCTACATCCACAGGGCTGTGAAATCCCCCTGGAGATGGGGACTCCAATCCTGCCCGGGGCAGCTGTGCCAGGGCTGGGCAGCCCTTTCTGTGAGGAATTTCCCCACTGTCCACCCAGACCCTCCCCTGAGGCCGTTCCCTCTGCTCCTGTCCCTATTCCCTGGAGCAGAGCCTGACGGCCCCGGCTGTGCCCTCCTGGCAGGAGCTGTGCAGAGCCACAAGGGCCCCCTGAGCCTCCTTTGCTTCAGGCTGAGCCCCTGTCCAGCTCCCTCAGGGATTCTGCAGCCCCTGCCCGGCTCCCTCAGGGATTCTGCAGCCCCTGTCCAGCTCCCTCAGGGATTCTGCAGCCCCTGTCCAGCTCCCTCAGGGATTCTCCAGCCCCTGCCCAGCTCTGTTCCTGCCCTGGCCACGCTCCAGCCCCTCCAGGGCTCTCCAGAGCTGCCCCAGCCCTGGAGGTGCCCGTTCCCCGGCAGTGCCAGCACAGGGGCACTGTGGCACTGCCCTGGCCCTGCTGCCACCCCAGAACTGGCCCAGCCCAGGGGCCCCCAGTGGCCTCTTGCCCAGCTGGGCTCGTGTCCAGCTGCTGTCACAGCAGCCCCAGGGCCTTTCCCAGCCCTCTGGCACAGCCTGCAGCTGCAGGGCTTGCTGTGAGCCAGCGGCAGGGCCTAGCCCTCACCCCACGTCACAAACATGGCCAAAGCTTTCTGGGCCCAGAGGCCTCTGACCCTGGTGGTGGTGGTGACACAGGCTACGTTGTGTAGGAGCCTTCTGTGAGAGTGGCCTGATGCATGTTAGGAGAGCTTCCTGTATCCAAGCCCCTCATTCCTGGGGTGTTGTTCCTTCTGGAGTTACTCCCGCACTCCCTTCCCAAGGCTCTGCTCGCAGACCAAGGCAGAGGCTGTGTGGGACCTGTGCCAGCCATGCCAACGCCCAGCCCCATGTCCCTGTGGCACAGGCAGCACGGAGCATGGGGAACAGGGCCTGTTTGCTTTTTCTGCAGCCTGGAGATCGGTTCATCTTTCTCTATTGAATGGAAAGACGAAATTTTAATTTCAGTTTGCTTTTGTGCTGAAGATTTATTTCTGTCTGGGAGAGTGCTTATAGAAGAACATGGATGCTACTGCCTGCTCTAGCCAGGCAGTGCAGGCTATTTATTTTCCTTTCAGAAGTGTCAACTCTGATCGATTATAGATTTTTAATAGATTTTTATTAATGGATTTTAATAATAGATTATAGATTTTTAATATCCCTCATTTGTCCATAATGGCAGGAAGTTTAGTAAGCAGTCTGAGAAACTTACAGATAAGTTTTTACTAATAGGGGATCAAAGAAATTTGACTTATATTTTTAAAACTAAGTCCAATGGTTTGCTGAAACTTCACTGAATTACATGGCTGTTGAAATGCTCTCTTTTTTTCCCTCCTGAGATGCGACATGCCTGGGGCTACAGTACTAACAGGATTATTTTATTTTGTTCTTTATATCACTCTTGGTAGCATTTCTGTGGTGAATGAATTAGTAATTGCTTCCAGATAAAATTGTTGCAGGAATTCTATGAGCAGAGGTTCCCTGAAAGCTTGCCACATGGCATGAGATTGTTTTTAACTTGAGAGACTTCCTCAGGTTTTCAGAATCTCTGCTCTTCATTGCAGGCAAAATTCTATCACTGTTGGTACTGTTTGATTCATGGCTTTTCCATGGGTATTATATTCAAAAGGATGATTTTATAGACAAAAAGACTAGGTGTTACTGCCTCCAACTTGGAAGTTTAATTTGGTTTTGTGAATTCCTGGTTGGTGGATAAGTAGTTTGAATTTTCAAAGATGTTGAAATTTTAAAAGAAATATAAATCACAGAATCATGGAATGGTTTGGGTTTGAAGGGATCATAAAGCCCACCCAGTGCCACCCCTGCCATGGCAGGGACACCTCCCACTGCCCCAGGCTGCTCCAAGCCCCAGTGCCAGCCTGGCCTTGGGCACTGCCAGGGATCCACAGACAGCCCCAGCTGCTCTGGGCACCTGTGCCAGGGCCTGCCCACCCTGCCAGGGAACAATTCCTTCCCTTCCTTCCCAATATCCAGCCTAAATCTATACCTTCTGTATGTGTATTTTTTAAAATCTAATCTCTGTTTACACTGATATCTGTGTCTCCATAGAGGGCCCAGATGCTTTTTGTGCTTCCAAAAATCTGAGCTTTTTCTCCACTTGCTTGAATGACCATTTCCTGCAGAACTTCAGTAACTGGCTTTTAAAAATCTTCAGCTCAATTTCTCAGGTTGAAAAGTATTGTAATAAATTCATTTAGAGACAGACGAAGGTGGTTTTTAAAAACCTGTGAGTTTTGCCTTTTTAATTTGAATCAGAGATCAACCTTAAAAATGCTTGATGGAAAAGAGTTTGGAAAATAATTTTTGACTCAGCCAAAATGTGTTAAAAAGTGAGATGTTAGCATTAACAGATCACTGGGGAAAGGCACAGAAAAGGTTCCAAGATTACCGGTTTGAGGAATTTCTGGTCTTGCTTTCCTCTCTTTTTGCCAAGTTTAAATTTAGAGTGTTTTTGTTTTAGAGCTGTGTTGTAAGTAGGACAGTTGAATTTTGCCAGAGGGCTGTGATTTGCTCCGGCAGTGTGCCGACCATGGAGTTTATAACTTGCCTAGGAAGGAATCCTGGTTTGGGTGCCAGCATGTGCTCTACCAGAACATGGTGTTTGGGCACTTTCAGGTGCTGCTGCCTTCTGCTGCCGTCCTTCCCTGCCATTTATTTTCAGCAGTGTCTGGAATACTCATCTGGAATATTTTGACTAATTCATATGAGACAGGAATGCATATCCCAATGGTTTTCTTTTGCTGGAGTAGAATTTGCACTGTGCAGCATTTGCAGATATTGATAACAATATAGAATCACAGAATGGTTGGGGTGGAAGGGGCCTCAAAGCCTGTCTCATTCCACCCCATCCATGGGCAGGGACACCTTCCACTATCCCAGGGTGCTCCAAGCCCAGTCCAGCTTGGCCTGGGGCACTGCCAGGGATCCAGGGGCTTAGGGTCAGTCCAACCCTCCATCCAGGAGCTTGTCAAGGAGTTTGGGGAGAATCAAATACAGAATGAGTGACAGGTTGCACCATGGCCTTCATCTGAACTGCATGCAATGGTACAGTTTGTGTAAATAAATAGTTTAGGAATAATTTTAGCTTCTGTTGGGGAATTCCTTGTGCTGGTTAGGTGGTATATCCATACATACAGGTTTGGAACCATGGCATCAATATGATAGAGAAACCATCCCTCTTGAAGTGATGTCATTATTATTGAAGAACAATCATCAGAAGGCCTGCAGAGAGAGTTCAACAGGACATTCCCAGCTGGGTTTTGTTGTGCTGTAGTTGGTCTGTATATAGTGGCTCTTAAGTAAATAATAATCTATATGATGGATCTTCAGAATTTAGAGAATCCGTTCTGAATGTTTAAAACCACTGGACACTAATGTTTGTCTTTGTGTTTTTGTTTGCAGACTCACTGAACCTTCAGGGTATGTCACAGATGGGCCTGGAAATTACAAATACAAGACAAAATGCACCTGGCTCATTGAAGGAAGGTGAGTGTTGGAAGCAGCTTGGAATTTTGTATTGCTTATTGGCACTTTTAGGTGAGTTTTATCTGCACTGAATATTGTTAGGTCTCACGATTCTTTCTGGCTATTCTAAAAGCTAAATTGGGCAACACTTAATTGGTCTTGGGAAATAAATTTTTGTGCAACTGAGCCCTCCAAACTGACTTCTGTTTAAGAGGTTTGTGTTGAAACAACATGTGATGAACAAAAATCAGCACACTTCTGTAAATAATGAAGGATTATGAATTACTTAACTGACATCATAGTGGGCCATTCAGATCATGGGATTCACTGCACATGGGATTTTTCAGTAGTATGAGAAACAAGAGAAAGCTCTGAAAGCTTTTATTCATGAAGAATCAGTTTCTGTAGTGATGAACTTCAGATGTTTCTTTACTCATTGAGCCATGAGGACTTCAGAGGAACCACTGACCTTTTATTGCAAAGGTTTTCTAAACTGGGAGAAGTCTCTCAGATGTCTCCCCTCACTTTGCTGCCCTTCTTGTATTTGATCCTTATATTGCTTACAGCAATTTATTGCACAGGTTTTTGGGAGTAGCATATTTAATGTCTATCCTCTGTCACCTGATTGATGGTGCAGCGGTTCAGAGCATCTCACTTGTTGAAATATATTTTTGATAGAACCAAGCTGGTGCCAGGACTGTAAGATCCATTTGTTTATTCTCTAAAGCTTTTCCATGGTCAGATATGATGCTGTGTGATAACATCTGTATGTTCAGTCACATTCCATGTTGCTCCCTGAATGTGCAGGTAGAGAGGGCTGTGAATTGAGAGCGTGAACTTGTGCTGGACACTGCAAACTGAGGCCTCTTAGGGGATCAGAATTTACTACACTCCCAGAGGGCATTTTTCCTTAGTCTTCTCCCTGTGTTTAACATATCTGTTGCTGACATGAACAGTGGGATAAGGCACCCTTAGCAAATCTGCCAGTGGATACCAGGCTATGTGGTGTGGGCAAGGTGCTGAAGGGAAGAAATGGCACCAAAGGCTGCTGCCAAAGGCAAGGTGGGAATTGTGTCCCTGTGCCCCTCCCTGAGGTGAGAGCCCACCTGCAGAGCTGCCCCAGCCCTGGGGCCAACAGCAGGAGGACGTGGAGCTGCTGGAGAGAGCCCAGAGGAGGCCCCGGAGCTGCTGCAGGGCTGGAGCCCCTCTGCTCTGGAGCCAGGCTGGCAGAGCTGGGAATGTTGCCCTGGAGAAGGGAAGGCTCCAGGCAGAGCTCAGAGCCCCTGGCAGGGCCTGCAGGGGCTCCAGGAGAGCTGCAGAGGGACATTTGGCTTGTTTGAGCAGTGGCTGAGGTCACTTGGTTTGTTCAGCCTGGAGAACAGGAGACTGAGGGGAAACTTCATCACAGCCTGCAACTTCCTTCTGAGGCAGAGAAGGGACAGACACTGATCTCTGTGTGACCAGGGACAGGACCCAAAGGAAGGGCTTGAAGTTGTGTCGGGGGAGGCTTATTTTGTGTCTCAGCAAAGGCTCTTCCCCCAGAGGGTGCTCAGGCAGTGCCCAGGCTCCCAGGGAATGCTTGTGGTGCCAGGGCTGTCAGAGCTCCAGGAGTGTTGGGGCAATGGCTCAGGCTCAGGGTGGGATTGTTGGGGTGTCCTGTGCAGAGCCAGGAGCTGGACTCAGTGATCCTTGTCAGTCCCTTCCAGCTCAGAATATTGTGTGGTTCCGTGATCTGTTCTGCACAACAGGACACAGTTTTCTGACCATAAAGAAATTTTTGTTTAATACTAGGAGAGCTGCATACAAAAAAAAAAGCCCTGAACCACAGCATGTTTAATGCATCTACAGTTACACCAAATGACTCAGTTTTAGTCTTGTCTAGACCAGAGCTTCACACCAGAGAAGTGTGTTGAAGGGATTTTGTCCTGTGTGTTGAGTGGCTAATTACAAATATTTTCTTTCTTTATTTTTTCTTTACAGGCCAAACACAATCCTCAGGCTTCGATTCAATCACTTTGCCACAGAGTGCAGCTGGGACCACTTGTATGTGTATGATGGAGACTCAATTTATGCTCCCTTACTGGCAGCTTTTAGGTGAGTTCCCCTTGGTGAGACTCTTGACTGTAGCCAGTGGTATTTTCTTAACTTAGAGCCTGACTGACATGGGGCTTCTGACACTGTAAATATGATCCAGTAATCCAAATGTGTAACACTGCAAGTGCAGCACATATAGCCAGTGTCCTTTTGTGCACTCTTTGTCAGCATAAACAATTAAAGAGTTGTTTTTAGCTTTTACAATGAACAAGTCGTGTCACTGCACTCTAGCATTTAAGTATTATGTTTTCATTTCCAAATCCTGATTCTTTGAGAGACAAAAAAATTATTGTTGTCTGTCTGGGCTGGAGATGATTTGGTGTGCAGGCTCCTTTGAGAGGAGAAAATTACCCCATTTATGGGTTTGAACATGATTTATGACTTAAACTTGTAGTGTGTCAATACAGACAGAGGGGCAAAAGGCAGCTAGTGTTGTAGACATGGAGGTCTCATAGAATTATGTCTATCTTTTATGTACCTTAAACTTCAAATTCTTTAGTTACTTGGAACATGTTCAGGAGCAGCAATCATGGATCAACCTTGTAAAAAACATAGAATCACAGGATGGTTAGGCTTGGCAGGGATCTTAAAGCCCATCCAGTGCCACCCCTGCCATGGCAGGGACACCTCCCACTGTCCCAGGTGCTCCAGCCCCAGGGTCCAGCCTGGCCTTGGGCACTGCCAGGGATGCAGGGGCAGCCACAGCTGCTCTGGGCACCTGTGCCAGGGCCTCAGTGCTGTCACAAGGAAGGATTCCTTCCCAATGTCCCATCTCTCCTGCCCTCTGGCAGGGGGAAGCCATTCCCTCTGTCCTGTTCTCATCCCATGGCAAATGTCCCTGTCTAGCTCCTGATGTGTAAAAGTTCCCGTTCTGCCAACAGGTTACAGGTGTTAGGCTCGTCCATGTGATGAGACATCAGTGTGGCTGCTGGTGAGCAATCCACATTTCATCCTGAGACCTAGACATAACTTGTGTTTTTCTGTGTTTCAGTCTTGCAGTGACACCACCACCTTATGCTTTTTATTCTTTAAACTGAAATTAGGAAAATAATCCCAAGTTATCTATGGAAAAAACTAAAGGACTAAAGGTTCCCCTGGGACTCTGCTTGTTCCAAGTGGCTACATAACTATTTCTAGAATTAACCTTCTGCTGGGCTTCCTCTCATTTGTGAAATGAAGGTCTAAAAATACTTCATGTTGCTTCTAAAAAATCCTTATAATGTCTGTGAGAGAAAATCAGCAGAGGGACAAAAGTTGATAAAAATTTAAACCACCATATGTGTTTTTTTGGTCTTCAGCTGCAAATGTAGCGTTGTTTTGGAGTAAAAGCTTCAGACTAAGGTGAGGTCAAAACAGGACACCTAATTTGAGGAAGGAGCAACCTTTCTCTTCTAAAAACCTCCAAAAACTGGCAATGCTACCTGGAAGTGCTCTCTATCGTGTTCTCATTGATGTGCAGGAAGAGGAGGAAATGTCATCTTGACCCAATGTCATTTTGTTCTAATCAAGCTATTTTTTAATGCACTGGTGAAAAGGTGAAATCATGATTTGTGCCTGCCATTTCTTGTGTGTTTTCCAAAAATTAATGGGCTTTTAAAATTGAACTAATAAGTAGTTCACAGCATTAACAGTTATGGTTCAGACTGGGAAATCTGTAAATCAGGAAGCCTGGTCCTGAGAACAAGCAAACATGACCTTAATACAATAATGTTTTTGAGGTAGGGAAAAAACCCCAATTTTTTTAAAATTGCTTCTTTAGATGACATTTGAATTTAACTTCATTAGCAGTGAGCTGTGGTGTTCAGTAATCCAAGTTCAGGAAATGGCAGATGCTTCTCATTTTGGTGAAGTACCAGAAAGCATCTGTTGAAAAATACCTTTCTCTAATACAAAATAAATGCCTTGGAGTTTTTTAAGAGCAGTGTTCATATTTTCCCAATTTAGTTGGGGTATATTAAATTTATTATTACCATTGACCATATTTTCTTGTTCATTATTTGCACCCTGACAGGAGATTTGCAAGACTGAGCTTTATACAGTTGGGCCCTGTAAGCTTTGAGAGTTTGTTGATAAACACTAGAAATTCCTTTCTCTCAACTCAATTTTTGTTCCCTCCCTGACTTTTTACAGCAGTTCCCTGAACCTTCACTTCCTTCACTGCTCTCATTTTGTTTTCTTGACCTTCTGACGCTCGTTTATGTTTGTTCACAAGATGATATTTATCTTTAAATATATATATATAATCTTGTATATATATAAGATGATCTTGGGAATCCTCAGCACTGGACTGTAGGGAAGCTTTAAATTTGTTTTATCAATTTTTAAGAGCAATAAATATTTGCTTAATGCCAACATTTACACAGTTCAAGTGTGTGCATAGACTAAACTCCTTGTATTCTGAGAGCCCCCAGAACTGTCTGGTCCTGCATATTAAGCTTTTTTATTAAACAGTGTTAAAAATATCTTTGCTGGCTTATATTTGTGACCACAGGCACAATGAGACTGTGTAAATGTGCTGCTTCAAAACTGCAGTAAAAGAATATGGAAACAAATGCAATATGTTTGTCAGCACTGGTGAAGAAATCTGAAGTAGATAAAGTGCAGTCAGCACCTGTGAACTTAGTTGGTTTTGTTAACTTTACTCCGCATTAAACACTTACCAGAGCTGGTTTTGCACCTTTTTTTCATTTTGCTCGGGTTGGTGGGGGGTGTTTTCCTGCTCAGACCCAGTTGTTGTTCTGCAGGACGTTTGGCTGCTGTGGCTGCTCTCAGGTGCCAGGTGGAGGATCGTGTGAGCCCCCCCTTCCCTCGGAGCAGGAGCAGCTCACCAGCCTTGTGGTGCCTTAGGGTGAATATGGCACTTGAGCACCCAGATTTGCCTGTAGGGCTGAGTTGGCTTGGAAGGGTCTGATCCCTCTCTCAAATCAGGATGACCATCAGAGCCCTTTGTCCAGTCAGGGTGTGAATTTATCTTTAGGATGGAGATCTCGTTGATCCTCTGGGTACATGGTCCAGAGATTGGTGTTAAAATAATGATCTACAGTGAATCTAATACCAATGTCTAGCCACAATCCCTTGCTGCAACCTGTGTGTGTTGCCTCCTGTCCTTTTCTTGTGAACCTCTGGTATTCCCTCCTCTCTAATCTCTCCTGAGGTAGTTGAGGTCAAAAATTAGGTTTCACCCTTCTTCAGCTGTCTGTCCTTGAAGTTAAAGAAACCTCACTCCTTCTACCTCTCCTTGTACATAGATCATATGGTTGACCCTCCTCTATTTTTTCATTCTATTTCCTCAATTGTTTGCCAGAAATTGTAACTGACCTTGATGCCATGGGAATGTGTATTCAGCTCAGGGGCTTCCAACAGCAGAAGAAACTGGAGCTGCCAGAACAAGTCCAGAGGAGGCCACAGAGCTGCTGCAGGGGCTGGAGCTTCCCTACCACTGAACCAGGCTGGCAGAGCTGGGAATGTTGCCCTGGAGAAGGGAAGGCTCCAGGCAGAGCTCAGAGCCCCTGGCAGGGCCTGCAGGGGCTCCAGGAGAGCTGCAGAGGGGCTGGGGACAAGGCCTGCAGGGACAGGAGCCAGGGAATGGCTTCCACTGGGAAAGGGGAGATTGGGCTGGGATCTTGGCAAGGAATTCCTGGCTGGGAGGGTGGGCAGGGGCCGGGCTGGAATTCCCAGATTTGCTGTGGCTGTCCCTGGATCCCTGGAGGTGCCCCAGGCCAGGTTGGACACTGGGGCTTGGAGCAGCCTGGGACAGTGGGAGGTGTCCCTGCCATGGTAGGGATGGGATGATCCTTAAGGTCCTTAAACTGTCCTTCCACCTTAAACTGTTCCATGATTCTTCGATAACCACAGTCATGTAAGAACTGAGGAGGTTTTTGGGCAAAGCCCCTCATCTGGAGGCTTTTACAGACAGACGAGCTTCCCTGTGCTTGTGCCTCTGCTGCAGCAAGGATTGAGGAGTTCAAAGAAGATTGTAATTTGAGGGGCTGCCAGCTCTATAATGAATCTATAGTCTAGGCTTTTTTAGTACGTGGTGTTGCAATGGGTTTGTTTCCTTAAAAGTCCTTGTTTGGGAGTCATCCTGCTTCATTGAAGACAATAAATTTACGATGTCTCCTTATATTCTCCTCCCTCCTTTTTTATTTTTTGCTATTGTTTTATTTTTAGTCTCCTGTAACTTCTGTTTTTAGTTTGTTTAGTTTTACTCTTGTAGTTCTGAGTATGAATGAGGTGCATGGACTGGTTTTTAGTAACAGAGAAATGTTGCCATTTTGTGTATGTGTGTGTCCAGATGGATCAAAGTATTTAAAAATTAGGATAATTTGTTTGCATTGGATTTTGATGGATTGAAAGCTGATTTTCCAGTATCATCTTTATCTTTTTACTCCTCCATGAGCTCTACTCTGTATTTTCACCCTTTCCTTTTGTGACTCTCAATTATGCCCTTTTTCTGCTTAGTAGAGCTTCTCATGCTTTGATCTCTAATAGGTTGTGTCTCTGGAGGAAATGAGGAATATGCCAGTACTGTAATACTCACATGGCAAATCCAAGAAAAATAATAGAGGAGGTGCCCTTTGTTTTAAATTATTCTGATTTTTCAATACTCTAGGGGAACGAACAGGGCAGTGTGTGCAGGGCAGTGGAGAAATTTGGTCTCCTGGACATAATTGTGAACTTCCATACTTGAAATGAGCCTCCATGATGAGTTGGAGAGAGGCTTTGGACAAGAGGATGGAGTGACAGGACAAGGAGGAATGGCTTCCTGCTATCAGAGAGTAGGTCTAGATGGGATATTGGGCAGGAATTGTTCCCTGGGAGGTGCCCAAGGCCAGGTTGGACACTGGGGCTTGGAGCACCCTGGGGTAGTGGGAGGTGTTCCTGCCCATAGCAGGAGATGGAACAGGATGATCTTTAAAGTTTCTTCCAGCTCAGGCCATTCTGTGTTTCATTGATTCTCTGATACTCTTTCACTTTCTGCCATTGACTTCAGCAATCCAGCTTGCAGGAAATAGATGTTATTTGGGTCCAAAGCAGAGGTTTGCCTTTCCCTGGGTGTCACTGGGCAGCTGAGCTGAGTAGGAGTGTTTATTTGCTTTGGAGTAGGGATGGTTGCAAAATGTTTTGAAACCTCATGAAAGGAAATAAAAGCAGTGTGTTGTGAAACACGCTAATCTTGGCCAGAGTTGAGTTGCTCAGAGATTCTGGATCATAATTTAAAGGAAGTTTTGCATAATCTTTTGTCATTCTGATTCTGCCTATTGGATTCTTTTTCGTGGCAGATGTAAATTCTGATGTGCTTCTGTTCATTCCATATGATACTGGGAGCAGGTTGATTTATTCACTGTTTCTGAGGTTCAACATTTCAGGCATCTGATTGTTCCTGCTGTGTTGTGTTCTCTTCATGGCTTTCTCTGAAAGAAATTAAAATGCTCTATCCCTGGAAATGTTCAAGGCTGGGCTGGATGGGACTTGCAGCAACCTGGTCTGGTGGGAGGTGTCCCTGGCCATGGCAGGGGCTTGGACTAGATGACCTTTAAGGTCCCTTCCAACCCAGACAATTCTGTGATTAAGTTTCCTTAGAGTGTTTTAAATTTGTGTAACATCCTCTTTAGTTATTTACACATGAATCACCAGAAAAAGATGGGAATAGGGAATATCTGGGATGCAAGCATTGTTATGGAGGTACTTGTGTTCTGGTCAAACAAACCCCAAATTTGAGATTTCTTTGAGAGCACAAAGAATTGTCAAGGATAGTCCTTTTATTAGGAAAGATTATTGAGGGGAATTTTTGTCTTGCCTTCCACTTACTTTGCCCTGTAATATCAGTGATAAGTGCTGAAGAAGAAACCAGAACAAAGCAATTTTTTTCTTGTCCCTGAGCTGCAGTTTGCCTCACCCAAATTATTTTCAAATGTTTTCCTGTGGTGGAGATGTACTGTTCTACAGTGTCCATTACAAGGGAATATTATGAACCAAACAAGAAGTTTGTTAGGCTTTTTGTTCTTTGGTTTTGTGGGAGATGGTCTTTTGGGAGAGATAAACTTCAGAAGTCTCAAATGTTGAGAATGAAATAAAGCACCTCTTCCAGAGAGATGAAAAGGGAATTAATTTTGCTGTTTAATCCCTTATCATTGAGAAGTGAATGAGCACCAGGGGGAAATTTGGCTTTCTCATAAGGAAATATTTCTTGAAATGTATATCAGCAGATGTGCTGGAGTTGCTTAGCCAAAACATGGGATCAGGTTCCAGTGATTTTTATGGTGTGTTGGTAAAATGAAGGACATCTTTTTTGTCCACCATGAGATTTGTTGTGCAGAAAGGGCTGTTGTGCAGTTTTCAGTGTGATCCTGATGTAGGTAGCTTGTTCATCTGCTGGTTTTAGTACACATACCCCCAAATCTGTAGTACAAAGGATTGCTGGGGGTCTGTTCTGTTCTTGGAGCACACCATTGTATTGTATCATGGGGACAGAAAAGTTCAGGTCACAAAAAGTGCTTCCCAGGTGGTATTAGTGGGTGCTGTGGATAGCTGGGAGTGATTTCCTTGAGCAGATAAACTCATTTACTGTGTCCTAGGAAACTCTCTTCAACTGCATTAGCTTTCTATTCTAAATAGATGTGAAAAGAGGAAAAGTAAGTTCTTCTTGGGGGAAAATTCTTTCTATCATTGCTTTTTGCCTGCTGGTGGCCCTGGGCTCTGGGGCGTGGCCGGGTGGGGGCCAGGCCGGGCTGTGTGGAGCTGCCCTGGCTCCCTCCCCACACGCTCTGCTCTGCCCCTCAGGCCCCTGCTGGTCACAGAGCTTTGACTTGACCTGGGGAAACGGGAGTGAGGCTGGGCAAAGGTGGATCTGTGCAGGGAAATAGCTGCTGACTGTGAACAGGGGGTGCTAGACAGTGTGCTGTACATGGATAAAGGCTTTTAAAAACGTAAATTCAATAGACTTTCAATTTGTGCCCATGTTGATGCCTTTTGTATGAGGGAGGAATCAACTTTTAATTTTTTGGTTTTGTCAAGCTTCTATTAAATGAAAAATAAACATTCCCTCTCAGATACAAAGTATTTAGTGCAATAGGTAAATAGGTAGTAATTACTTTTTTCAAAGCTCATTTTAGTTTGTCAGTTTACTCCAATTATTTTGACAAACCATTATATAAATCTGTAGTGTGTCTGTAATACTGTAGATAGTCTTGCCCACCATCTTTGCTTCTCTCTGCTAGTCCTGGAAAACTAAAAGGCTGGAGGATCTCAGAGAACCTGGAAAGGTGAGAGAAACAGCCAAAGGCATCCATAAGTGTGAAGCAAAGAATGAGGTGGGAGTTGAGAGTGTGACAGGCTGCTATGATAGAAAGGACAACACACATGAATGTGATGAGTCAGGTAGAGCTTATAAAAGAAGAGATGATGAGAAGATATGGGGCAGTTGAAATGCCTGAGGGATGAGATGGCATCCAGAGGGACCTGGGCATGACCAAGGACTGGCACTGTAGGGATCTCATGAGCTTCAACAAGGTCAAGGTCCTGCATCAGATGGGAGCAATTCCGAGTATGAGAAGTGACTGGGGGATGGAGGGATTGAGAGCAGCACTGGAGGGGGAGGACTTGGTGATGCTGGTGGGTAAGAAACTGGACATGCCCTGGCCTCGTGAGCTGGGACCCACAACGCCCCTGTGCCTGGGCTGACCCCAGCGTGGGCAGCAGGGGAGGGGGGACTCTGTCCCTGTGCCCCTCCCTGAGGTGAGAGCCCACCTGCAGAGCTGCCCCAGCCCTGGGGCCAACAGCAGGAGGACGTGGAGCTGCTGGAGAGAGCCCAGAGGAGGCCCCAGAGCTGCTGCAGGGCTGGAGCCCCTCTGCTCTGGAGCCAGGCTGGCAGAGCTGGGAATGTTGCCCTGGAGAAGGGAAGGCTCCAGGCAGAGCTCAGAGCCCCTGGCAGGGCCTGCAGGGGCTCCAGGAGAGCTGCAGAGGGGCTGGGGACAAGGCCTGCAGGGACAGGAGCCAGGGAATGGCTCCCACTGGGAAAGGGGAGATTGGGCTGGGATCTTGGCAAGGAATTCCTGGCTGGGAGGGTGGGCAGGGGCCGGGCTGGAATTCCCAGATTTGCTGTGGCTGTCCCTGGATCCCTGGAGGTGCCCCAGGCCAGGTTGGACACTGGGGCTGGGAGCAGCCTAGAATAGCAGAAGGTGTCTTTGCCATGGCAGGGGTTGAACAGGATGAGTTTTAAGTCTCTGGTTTAATGCAAACCAGTCTGTGATTCCATGGCTGACTGTATTTCTCATAGAAAAGGAACCCAAAAGGCAGCAAGTCAAAAATGAGTAGAATAATCCTTTTTCTGCTGTTGTGGAATTAAATTGTTAACCTCACTGCTGCAGATTTTTCAGGTGAAAAGGATATGAATGATTAAGAAATGAATTGGATAGAAGCATGGCAGAGTGGTTTATTTTACTGTGCTGGCTTGGGTGCATTCTCCAGGTCTAAGCATCTGAACTGGGTGTCTGGATGGTGGATTACACATTGCCACAATGCTCTGTACTTGCTTGGTTTGTCACAGCCTTTCCCAATCATTTTTGTAGCCCACAGTCAGGAGGAGATCTGGGCTCAGCAGACCTTTAGTTTGACTTTGTAACACAGATTTTCTTTTTGGACACATTAATTTCCGTTTCCTAAGGTGCCACCTTGTTTTATGAGTGGGACCTGCTTAATTCTTTGCTGAGTGACAAGGGAGGGAAGGGTTTTTGATAGGGTTATCTAACATTCTAGATAGCTTCAGACTTTCTCAGGTTAAATACTTCCAACATACATTTATTTATGATTCCACAAATTCATTATACTTCAAATAATGGAACTACCTGGAGTTTCAATTATTTTATTGAAATTCAGTTATTTTATTGATAGTACTGGTGCATTTACTCTTGTTGCTTTGCTGCCTTTTATTTCATTTCTAATATTGTTCTCTTACTTTTCCAGTGGTCTTATTGTTCCTGAGAAAGACAGCAATGAAACAGTACCTGAAGTTGTAGCTACTTCTGGATATGCTCTTCTACATTTCTTCAGTGATGCTGCCTATAATCTCACAGGGTTTAACATCACCTATAAGTAAGTGGCACCACTCCACAGTGATGCTGCAGGTTGAGCAAAAGGAGTTTTCCCCTTTTCTTACTTTTGTCTTGAAATAAGCAGTTGCCATTGAAGTGTGTAATTATGAGCAGACACTTGAAATTAGATTTTTATCTTTATTATACCCTTGCAAGAGCTAATAAGTGGCATGTGCTCAATGTTACAACTTATCAGTTGTAAGTGTGGATGAATGTTTGCTCCAAAAGGCATCTTACTATTTATTTTATGTTATTAGATCAATTTGATTCTATCTAATCAACAGGAATTGATGTGTTTTGTGCATGTCTGTGCTCCTGAGTGCTCTGCAGAGATACTCTAGCACAAACGCACTTTTCCATCAGCCACACATTTCATTTGAGACACTGGGCTGTACATGCTCTTGAGGGTCCTCATCCTCAGGATTTGCTTTCTTATTCATCCCTGGATTGAATCCCTTCATCTGGCTTCTTTTTATTTTGAACTGGTTTTATATTAATTCATATTCTAAACAGATGGTACTTTCTATTCCCTGACATGTATGTAGTCCTCACTGGTGAGCTTTTTAAAAGTAATTCTGGTATGCTCCCTAATTCATCAACTGCTTTTAGAAAGGTTTTGTCTTGAGGTAAATGTGTGGACATACTCACAGAGATGGAAGGTTTTACTTCTGCAGGGATTGTGAGCTTCAGATTTTTTTTTGCTCCTACAGATGCAAGTTATGTTTGTGCCAGACTGGGAGATTTAATTTGGGAATAACCTGCAGAAAGTCTCACCGCTTTCAGAAAAAACAGCTGGAAAAACTTCAGTCATAACTGACTTCTTGCAAAAACTGACTTTCTTTTAAAATGAGAAGCTTAGTTTTTGAATATCAAGTCTCAGTGCTTTCATCCTTAGTAATAACACAAATATGTGCTTAATAACCCACATAATAGTGAATTTTTTAAAAATAGGGGGCATTCAGCACCCCTTGAAAGCTCCAGAAGAAGATGAGGAGTGTATGCAAAGTTACTGGGATCAGAGGAGCTGAAGAGGCAGTGATTTCCAAGTCTGACTGATTGCATAAACCAGGACTCCATCTACTGCCAGCTGTTGGATTTGCACCATTGCAATAAAATACTGTCTTCAAGAACAATATTCTTTTAATTTGTCACTTTCTTCATAATTTCAAACAATTTTCAAGTGCTGTTTTGTGTTCTGGTTCTTAGGTTTGCTCGTAACATTTTCCCAGCAAGTAGATTGAATGGTACATAAGAGTCTTCTTAGTTATCACTGAGTGTAGGTAGTAGTTTTCTCAGCACTTGTGGAATTGCCTTGGAGCCAGTGACAGTGAGAATATGGGTACTAATTCCCATCTGTGAATTATTCTGGTTGATACACCAGCAAAAACTGGAGTCTGGAAATTATTATGATCTCAAAATTTGGACCTTTACTAAGATCGTATTTGGTTTTGCCTCAGCTACATTGCAGATATTATAAAATCAGAAATTAATTTGAACCAGGCACGTCTTTGGCTCAGGTTCCATCTCCAGTTGTTCTCTTGGTAAGCAGATCCCAGAATAGCATCTAATTGTGAGCAGTTTGAGTATAAATTGCACAGACACCACAGCAGCCTTACACTCTGATTAAAGTCCTCACTTACTGTTGGGTGTTTTAAGGAAAGTTGTTTGCCTTACAAATGGCTAAAAATCCTATTGATCATTTTCTCAGAGGAGTTGCGAGTTTAACTTGTGAAATGAAGCAGTTTTTAGGAATAGAGTACAAATCTCTACAGGTGCATCACACCAGGTAGCAGATGACTCTCTCTTGGTTTGTAATGATTTGTGTTCACTTTGTTCAGCATCATTCTTGCCTTTGTTAATAATTCTTGGGAATCTCTTTCCTTCCTGACGAGCTGCTTTGTGCTTTTCCCCAGTTTCAATATGTGTCCCAATAACTGCTCTGGCCAAGGGGAGTGCAGGCTCAACAGCAGCAGCCTGGCCCCGCAGTGTGAGTGTGCCGAGCGCTGGAAGGGAGAGGCCTGTGACATTCCCTACTGCCCGGGGAACTGCGGCGCTCCTGAGCGGGGCCACTGCAGCCTCAACGGCTCCAGAGCCTGCCTGTGCTCTGCAGGCTGGCAGGGTGAGTCTCCTGGGGGGCACACAGAACTCTGGGGATGCATTTCCTATGTGTGGAGCTGGCAGTTTAACTGGGAGTACGTGGGAATGTTCTGCATGACAAGTATTCTCATTTTGACTAGGAACAGAGTATCTCCTTTTTAAATTTAAAAGATCACACTTCATGTGGATGGATGGATATGCTGGAGAGCAGGACACAGGGAAGCTCCAAGGGCTGGATCCTCTCAGCTCTGGAGACAGTCTGGGAGAGCTGGGGTTGTGGAGAAGAGAAGACTCCAGGGAGACTTCAGAGCCACTTCCAGTGCCCAGAGGGCTTCCATGAGAGCTGGAGAAGGATGTTGGACAAGGGCCTGGAATGCCAGGACAAAGGGGAATGACTTTAAATTGAAACTAGGCTGGTTTAGATTAGATATAAGGAAGAAGTATTTACAATGAGTGTGATGACACCCTGGCACAGGGTGCCCAGAGCAGCTGTGTGTGCCCCTGGATCCCTGGCAGTGTCCAAGGCCAGGTTCGACATTGGGGCTTGGGGCAGGTGTCCCTGCCATGGCAGGGGGGTGAAAAGCGATCTTTCCAATCCATCCCAGTCTGTGATTCTGTGTTTTTTTACAATTGCTTTTAAAAGCAACTTTGTCACCATCCAAAGAGAGACTAACGTGTGGTGTACAGGCATCCCTTCAAGCCTCATTCCTATGCACCTGAAGCAAATTTGAGCCTAGTTGCCATAGTTGACCTGTTTGAACATGTGAAATGCCTTGTTCTCATGTCCAGCTGAGCTGATCAGCCACATCCAACTTGGCAGAGATCTGGCCTGAACATACATGTTTCCTTTGCAAAGACCTACTGACATGTAATAATTAGTCCCATATTAAATGCAACCAGCTACAGCACTAGCAGGAGTTTGACCTCCAGCCGAAACACAGGCTTTGGAAAAACCCCATTTTTAAACCTTCTTTTCCCAGGTCCTGGCTGTTCAATTCCTCTTCCTGCAAACCAGTCATTTTGGGAACGGGAAGAATACACTCTTCCAAAACTTGCCAGAGCATCTCACAAAGCCGTCATCCATGACAATAAAATGTGGATTGTTGGAGGCTATGTCTTCAATCATTCTGACTCTCAGAAGGTTTTAGCGTGAGTATAAACCCAGATAATAAAAACTAAAGATAGGAACTTAGATTTGAGAGTTATTTTTAGGAAATGCCACCTGACATGCTTTGCTTTGGTTTGTGCTTCATCTGCAAGGGAAAACAGCCATAATAAAAACTCAGGCTCGTGTTTGAGATGGGGGAAAATCTTGCTAAGGGGTGCTAATTTTGGAAAAGAAAAGCATAAGGTTCCTGATGTTCAGTGAGCTTTTGATTCATCTGTGTCTGACAGCATTTAACTATTCTCTGTATATTTCTGGGCCAGCTCCTAAATTATATCTAGCCTCATATTCAAAGAGGGTCATTTTGCTTCAGTGTTTTTTAGACCTTCTTTATGTTGTATCTGTGTGACTTGAGTTTTTGGCTCCTTAATAACACCTACTGATTACTCTGGATGGTTATCCACAGTGGATGGGACACCAAACAGGGAGTGGCATTAGGGTGAGGGCATTTATGCAATTGTTTGAGGAGGTGTAACAGTAACTAAAATATAAAGTAATAATAATGTACTTCATGGAAATACTCAATTTAAAAAAACCCAGCTTTTGTATTGTATTAGGGCAGATCTAGGCAAAAGCTGGATTTTTTCCCACAGATACTCCTATACCTTACTTTGATGGACCTAAGTGAGAGCTGTGTATTCTGCACTCACATCCTGAGGCAATAGTTCTTATAGGGGAAGAGGAGCTGAAAACACACATTTAAATGTAGAACAGTTGCTAGTTGCACCCACAATTTACTCCTCCAAAGTCACACCTTGTTTTTAATAGGATACCCTATGGCTTTGTTGAATGCTTTCTCAGAGATGATTTTATCTCACAAAGCCCTAAGCTTGGCAAATATAGTGCCTTATTTTAAATGAAAAGCCACAAGCCATTTTCAGGGCAGAAGGTTTATGTTATTTTAAGCATGAATAGCAAAGACATAATTAAAAAGTGCTTTTTAAGCACCAGCAGAGTTTCTTTAATCAAGTAGTTGGAAATTATCTAAGTTTAGTGTAAAGTTTTCCTACTTTTTTGAGGGAGAGGTGGTGTAGGTTGTCACAGCTTAATAGGCAATGCACTAGCTCTTGGGGTTGTATGGAAAAGAAAACAGGGCAAAGGACATCAACCTGTGGATGTTCAGTAACGGAGCAGACTCAGCTGTTTTTCTTATAAGCCCATAAGTAGTTTGTATGAGCTTTGTGCATGCTGAAATCATGGCAGGATTTATTATTTCAGTAAATAATTATATCTAGCATACTATATTGGTAAATAATTTCCCCAAATCTTAGAAAGGACAAACAATCATATTCTCAGCTTTAATACCTATTCCTTGGAAAGTAATTCAGTTTTAATTTTACAGGTATGATCTCATTTCTGAAGAGTGGCTTCCACTGAACAGCTCTGTGAACTCAGTAGAGATGAGATATGGTCATTCGTTGGCATTGCACAAGGTAAGTTCAGTGCTCCAGACTCACTTCCCAGCTAATTTCCCTTCTTTTCTCCTGCTTCCCACTCCTTATCCCAGATCAGCCTTGCTTTTGGAGAAGTGTTCCTCATTCAGGGGCTTGTCCATGCTTAGCCCAGGCTATACCCTTGTGCTCCAGGCCATCCTTGGGTGGCTCTCCTAGGAAGTCTGTAGTGTCTCTGCCTGTGTGCTCCTTCTTTGCCCTTTTTCCAGAGATTTTGAAGATGACTTTTTGAGGCCAGTGAGTCCATTATTTCCTACTTGCTGTCTGTGCAGACAAGAATGCCTGAGGCTGAGTTTGCTGGAGTTCCCCAGCTGCCTTTTATGTAGATCACATGAATATTTTTATGAGCTCTGTTGTCCAAGATGCCAAAGCAGAGCTGGGGGATTAGGGATTTTTGTTACTTCTTCTGCAAGTAAATTTGTGAATCTAATCTTCCAGCATCTGACACAGCAAGTGGATTTGACAGTTTTACCTCCTTTCTCACTTGTGTGCCTTGCTGTAAGTGCAGACCATGTGAGAGCAGGATGGCAAAGTCTGTGGAAAGGAAATGAGCTGATCCTTTATTAACCTTTGGGTTTTATTCACCTTTGAAAGTTGTTCAGCTCAAACAGTGCAGGCCAGGGCAAAACTTAATCATAAATACTCAAAAAACTCCACACTGTCATTCACAAACAGAGCACTTGAAGAGCCTCAAAGTATGGAAATTCATCATGCAATCACAAAATTATTTGGGTTGGAAGGGAGCTTAAAGATCATCTAGTCCCAGTCCCCTGCAGAGACCTCCCACTGTCCCAGGCTGCTCCTAGCTCCAATGTCCAGCCTGGCCTTGGGCACTGCCAGGGATCCAGGGGCAGCCACAGCTGCTCTGGGCACCTGTGCCAGGGCCTCACACCGTCCTGGGGACAATTCCTAGCTCCCAATATCCCATCCATCCCGGCCCTCTGGCAGTGGGATGCAATCCCTGTGTCCTGTCCCTTCAGGCCTTGTCCCCAGTCCCTTTCCGGGGGACTTTATTAGGTAACTTCAGACCAGTAGCTTCAGTGCTTCCCAAACAGCAGTTCCCTAAACGCTGCACTCGCTGCCCTCTGGGCCTTCTTTCAGGATAACATCTACATGTACGGCGGCAAGCTGGATGCCACGGGGAACGTGAGCAGCCAGCTGTGGGTGTTCCACATCCCGCGGCAGAGCTGGGCCGTGCTGGCACCCCGGGCCAAGGAGCAGTACGCCGTGGTGGGGCACTCGGCACACGTGGTGACCCTGCGCGACAACAGCACCGTCATGCTGGTGCTCTTCGGGCACTGCCCCCTCTACGGCTACATCAGCAACGTCCAGGAGTACAATCTGCGTGAGTGAGGGGGAGAGGGAGGGAGGGCAGGCCTCCTGTGCGGGAGTACAGCCTGTGGGAGTGAGGGGGAGAGGGAGAGAGGGAGGGCAGCCCTCCTGTGCAGGAGTACAGCCTGTGGGAGTGAGGGGGAGAGGGAGGGAGGGCAGCCCTCCTGTGCAGGAGTACAGCCTGTGGGAGTGAGGGGGAAAGGGAGGGAGGGCAGGCCTCCTGTGCAGGAGTACAGCCTGTGGGAGTGAGGGGGAGAGAGAGAGAGGGAAGGCAGCCCTCCTGTGCAGGAGTACAGCCTGTGGGAGTGAGGGGGAGAGAGAGAGAGGGAAGGCAGCCCTCCTGTGCGGGAGTACAGCCTGTGGGAGTGAGGGGGAGAGAGAGAGAGGGAGGGCAGCCCTCCTGTGCAGGAGTACAGCCTGTGGGAGTGAGGGGGAGAGAGAGGGAGGGAGGGCAGCCCTCCTGTGCAGGAGTACAGCCTGTGGGAGTGAGGGGGAGAGAGAGGGAGGGAGGGCAGGCCTCCTGTGCAGGAGTACAGCCTGTGGGAGTGAGGGGGAAAGGGAGGGAGGGCAGGCCTCCTGTGCAGGAGTACAGCCTGTGGGAGTGAGGGGGAGAGAGAGGGAGGGAGGGCAGCCCTCCTGTGCAGGAGTACAGCCTGTGGGAGTGAGGGGGAAAGGGAGGGAGGGCAGCCCTCCTGTGCAGGAGTACAGCCTGTGGGAGTGAGGGGGAAAGGGAGGGAGGGCAGCCCTCCTGTGCAGGAGTACAGCCTGTGGGGGAGTGGGGAGGGAGGAAGGGCAGCCCTCCTGCCGGGCCCCGCCAGTGGAACAGCTGGTTTGGATGTTATTTAAATGACTCATGTTCAGATAGCAAAACACAGCCAAAGGTGTTCTCCTCCTCCTGTTTGTAGATAGAAGAAGTTGAACCTAACAGATTTGTATAACCCAATGAGCAGGCAGCCACGTGCCTCCACCTTTAGACACAGTGTTAGGTCCCAAAGATACAAAGCTGTAAATGAGAGGTAAAGCAGGGCAACTCTGGAACAGTTTAGATTAGTTTTCCTCTCTCCCCCTGACAAAACAAACACTTCTGAAATTATTTTTTAATTCTGCAGATATAATAATGGCTGTAACAATTCGGACCAAATACCTGCTTAACCTGACACCCATGTCCCCAGTAGCAGATGCTATGGGAAGCAGGTGCTGAATTTCTGGATTCCCATATCCCTGATATTCTGACCCCCATATCCTGGAATAGTCCAGCCTCTGATTTTAGGGTCCAGAGAGTTCTAGTATAAGCACTGGAGAAGCACAGAAGGCTTTCCAGGCAAACTGAACTTGTATCCAGCTCAGAAATGGGGGCACATTCCTGGCTCCACAGACCATGTCGAGATTGTAGTTAGGTGCAGGAAGTTCACAACAGGAGTTGTTAACTAGTTGTTGTGCTGGTTATTCTCAGAAATAGTGGCCCTGTCTCCACTTTGTTCTCCAGTCATGCTGATCCAGAGGATCTGCTGGAGCCAGGTTCTCTGGAGTCCATGTGTGCAAGATTTCTTCCTTTCAGAGAAATCCAGAGAGAACCACGGCCCGTGGGGCAGTGATGTGTTTCTGCCATGTGTGATCTTGCAGACTGTTCACTTCCTTTGCCTTTGGTGTGCCTGCTCTGGCCTGCAGTTGGGAAGCTTGTATAGGGTTTCATTCAGCACTACTACAGAGATTTGGTGTGTAATGTGGTATTTTTATTTCAGTTGCCATTATAATACGTCTAAAGTGCTTCAGACCAATGTTATTTTAGTGAGTGAGATACAGGATCATGAATCACATATTAGTTTTTAACTGCAGTGTTCTTCACAGTCAGACTTGGCTTCAGTGCTGTCTGGCTTTATATATATATATATAAAAAGTAAAAGTGCTCTTGAGTCCCATTCCAAATCAAGTCACAGTGCTGGCATTTTCATGTCATTGAAATGCAATATATTATTTGTCTTCTTTTTATTTCTCATTTACTTATCTTGTCTGCAAAATGTAAAAAATGACTGTGGAAGAGCTATTTCTGCTCCAATTGAAAATACCTGGCAATGCTTCTTGACAACAGACTTTTTGAAGGGGAATATTTTTGGATATGAAGTGATAGAGACAGTGTCTAGATCTGAGTCAGGGGAATCCCAATTTATTTCACTGCATTGTTGATGAGTTATTAAATGGACAGAAATGAACCATGTTTTGTCACTCATTTTTCAGTGACAAATACCTGGAGCATCTTGCAGACGAGTGGAGCTCTGGTGCAGGGAGGATATGGTCACAGCAGTGTTTATGATCCAAATACAAGATCAATCTATATCCACGGGGGTTACAAGGCCTTCAGTGCCAACAAGTACAGGCTGGCAGATGATTTGTACAAATACGAAGTGGATTCCCGCATGTGGTAAGTTGTTCTTCTTCTTTTTCCCGTTTACTGCCCTGTCAGTTTTGTTTGTAGTGAACAAGAGGATGGGTATTTCATGAGGGTACAGTGGTTTATATCTGCCTGAATCCAGGATAGATGCTGTGCTCTTGGATGTCGTTTTTATGTCCCCTTACGAGGAGAGAATGATATAATCAATATAATCAAGGCTGTGAACAAGCCAAGAAATCCATTTTAATCTATTGTTTGATTCAAACTGAAAAGAAAAATATTTGATGTTTTTTTCTTGCTAGCCGTACAGCCTGTGCATATTAGTGCAGTTACTGCAGTCAAGCCAGTGATAATCCATTCTACAGTTAAGACTGTAAAGGAATTTCTATTATAACCCTATTTTCTTCTGGCTCTGTAACTGCTTGAAATGTTCATTTCTTAAGCTGAAATCTTCTGTGATTTGTTGCTGCCAAAAGGTGAGTTTTATTAAAAAGCTATAGCCACACTTCACAGCCTGGAGCAACAGAGATGAAATACATTTTCCTTAATTCAGTGTTTTTAATGTTGATTCTAAAGGCTCCTGACTGTCTTTTGGGTTAACACATGTAAATTTGAGTCACTGCATCTCTTATTGGGTGTTAAAATAGCTTGTGTTTCTGCAACATCTGTTTGTGAGTCTGTACTGATGAGGAAGGTAATGAGTGACTAATTTCCAGCCCCCCTCCTTCCCACTCAGTTGTATACACAGAAATAACCCCACTTCCTCTCTGGATTAATTTGATCTTCCACTTCAGCCATGGAGTGGACAAATCTGGCTGAGTAGGCAGAAACTTAACAAATGTGACATTGTTCTTCCAAACTCCTGCAGCACCAATTTTCTTTTGTCACATTTATTTTGTCAGTCTGGCAAGCCCTGTTGTACAAGTGGAGAGTGTAGGACTGTCTATTCATCTCTATCTCTGCCTTTTTTTTGTGTCATTGACGCTTTCTTTTATTCTTGAGTGATTTAGCCCTCTCTTGTTAAATCTCATGAGCTTCCCATGGGCCCTCTTCTTGAGCTCTTCCAGGCTCCTCTGGAACAAATCCTGTCCCTCAGGTGTGTCAACCACACACTCAACTTGATGTCCCCTAGTTGAAGGGACCTTAAAACTCAACCCATTCCACCCTCTGCCATGGCAGGGATACTTTCTGCTATCCCAGGTGCTCCCAGGGATCCAGGGGCAGCCCCAGCTGCTCTGGGAATTCCAGCCCAGGCAGGAATTCCTTGCCAAGATCCCAGCCCAATCTCCCCTTTCCCAGTGGGAGCCATTCCCTGGCTCCTGTCCCTGCAGGCCTTGTCCCCAGCCCCTCTGCAGCTCTCCTGGAGCCCCTGCAGGCCCTGCCAGGGGCTCTGAGCTCTGCCTGGAGCCTTCCCTTCTCCAGGGCAACATTCCCAGCTCTGCCAGCCTGGCTCCAGAGCAGAGGGGCTCCAGCCCTGCAGCAGCTCCGGGGCCTCCTCTGGGCTCTCTCCAGCAGCTCCACGTCCTCCTGCTGTTGGCCCCAGGGCTGGGGCAGCTCTGCAGGTGGGCTCTCACCTCAGGGAGGGGCACAGGGACAGAGTCCCCCCTCCTTCAACACAAATCCTCTCAGAAAAATAGGAGAATCCTCCAAAAGATGACCCTCTGTGCTCAGTGCCATCAGTACTACTGATGGAAGTTGAGATTGGTGACGAGTTTGATTAGTGCTTCCCATGATTTAGTCTCTGATGAGCCAGCCTGTTGTACAGTTATTAACCTGTAGGGCTTTGTTTTCAGGATCTGTATAGATCATGGTAAAATAGATTTTTTTAGTTGTGAGCAGAGATGCTGCCCGGTGTGAAAGATTTCTTTGTGTTGCTATAAAAGCAGAGTTACTGCAAAATATTGGAGTCTTCCCAGACTGACTATGTTCAAAAGACAAGTGTGAAAACTTGGGAATCCCTAGGGAAAGAACTGATGATTGGAAGACCACAGCTTTGGAAAGAGGCTCTCATAGGTATAGTTCTCCTATAAATTGGCAAAGCAAGTGGAAAGATGAGAATGAAATTACAAGTGGAATCGAACAATGTGGAATGTAATTGTTAATCAGCTCATTAGGAAAAGTAGTTAGATACTATCCTTGCCCTCCAAGTGTTCTTCAGCTTAGATTTATGGAGTGTTTTGCCTTTGCCAGGTACTCAGCAGTCTCATTAATAGATATATTTTTATTTCTGAAGGACTATTCTCAAAGACAGTCGATTTTTCCGCTACTTACACACAGCTGTGATTGTGAGTGGGACCATGCTGGTGTTTGGAGGAAACACTCACAATGACACCTCCATGAGCCATGGAGCCAAGTGCTTTTCTTCGGATTTCATGGCCTATGACATCGGTAAGTTCTTGCAGAAACAATAACAAACCTCAAACACTTGGCTGTTTCTCGGGATCTGTCCTCGGTTTGTCTCCAGAATGCTGGTTTATGGTGCAAGTGTTATCCCAAGTGCTGCTGGGCTCAGGGATCTGCAGTCAGGAGAAGCTCATAACCTTGCTACAGAATTCCAAGCACATGAGGGGCAGTGATTTCCAATTACAGACAGCAGCAGTTCCTTTGTTAACAGTTTATACACAACCTTGGGCATTAAAAATTAGGTTTTAAACTGCATATTTTTACAGAATCATAAAACCATGGAATCATTAAGGGTGGAAAAAACCTTTAAGATCACCAAGTCCAACTGGCAACCCAGCACCACCACCATTTTCACCACTAAACCATGTTCTCAGGCACCACATCCACATGTTTTTTGAACACTTCCAGAGATGGTGACTCCATCACTGCCCTAAGCAGCTTATTCCAGTGTTTTGTAACCCTTTGCATGAAAAAAAATACTTTCTGATATCTAATCTACATCTTCCCTGGCCCAACTTGAGGCTGTTTTCTGTCCTGCTATCTCAACCATAAATCTATTCTGATATTTTGATTGTGTTTTAATCTATGATGGGTCAAAAATTCAAGTTCTTAGGACAGTTACAAGCACTAGACCCTGCTGAAACTCCACCTGTACAGTGCACTGCTTCATTCAATCATAAAGCCAAGTTATTAGGTTGGACTTGCTGAGTTTCAGTGGCCAGGAGAGGGCAGCATTTATTTGTGGATTTGGATTCCAGAGCCTGTGAGTTTAAGAAAAACAGGGAAGGAAGAGGTGAAATTACATAAAGAAGGTGCATACACAGATAATTCACACATGGGAAAAACACCACTCGGTATTCTGACATTCACCTTTTGCTCTCAGAATGCCCTAAATGTGGCTTCCCTGAAATAATCCTGTGAACCTGAAATCTCCAAGTGACTGTCCACCAAGATCTTACTCCTGGTGTGTTGGAGGAAAATGCAAGTGAATACTTGGGCCATCAGGGTTTGCTATCCTTGTGCCCTTTTGCTCTCTGTTATAGCAGTCATTCCAGTGTGCCTCCTGTGATTTCTAGCCACATCCCTCTGGAATCTTTGTGTGCTCCTAGCTAGCTTTATTTTGATTTTTTTTTTAAATTGAGGAGTTAAAATGAGGTATTTGACCGGGTTGGATGGGGCTTTGAGCAGCCTGGTCTAGTGGAAAGTGTTCCTGCCCGTGGCTCAGAGCTGAAATGAGATTGTTTTAAGGTGCCATCCAGCCCGGAGTATTTTGTCATTCTGTGGCAGTCATAAACAGTTTGATTTTTTTAAACTTTGGTAGCAACTGCGATAGATTTTTCTTTCTGCATTCTGCTACCTGCCCTGAACTATTGAACTCTCTGTCAGGTGTAAAACACAAATTGCATTAATTTGGCAAAATATGCCAATAATGATGTTCAAGTTTGGGTAACATGTTACATGACATGAGTGATGTAGTCAACATCCCCAGTTCTTACCAGATATACACTGATGTGTGGGAGCTTGCATGGGTTTTACGTCACATGGTGGGTGAGAGGTGTTCTTGAGTCCCCTCATTCCTTAGAGAAGAGATCCTCAGCCTGAAAGGAGCAGCTTTTTTTTCAGAAATGAGGCCACTTCTGTTCTATTCATTGCAGGAGCCATTGTGCATTATTTCCCTTATCCCATGTGATTAGGAAGGCATTAGGGTGGTGGCCATCACTTGTGTCACAGCAGCAATGCCTTTTCAGTGCTTCTTCATGCATAATCTCTGCAGTAATTAATGACCCTGGTCATGCTCCTGTTGGTCTCCATGGGAATAAGCCCATGTAACCCCCCTGTTATCTAACCCTCGATGTTCCCAAAGCAAGACCAGTTGATACTGAAAGCCTTCAGTGAAGAGGCTTAATAATTGTCTTTATTCCCTACTTTTATAGTATGCTGTCTGCCTGCCTTGCTAATTTTTTACATCGTTGTGATTAGCCATCATAATTGATTAATGGTCACAGTGATGGTTGGAAGACTGGGGAGAAGTGGAATTAAATCCAATCTGAAACAAATGCTTCAAACTCTGGTCTTCTCCTTAACCTTTGTCATTAAAGCTTATTTTGTTAGGAACAAATTTTATTTGCATCGTCAATTTTTTCTGGTTTTCCTTCCTCAAATTTTCAAGTAATCAGAGCACATGCACTGAGTATTGGGAGTACATAAAACCTTTTTTCTGTGTGGGGCAATGCTAACAGCTTGCACTGAGATGTGTGCTGGGGATGAGCAATAAAAATTCTTGACTACTTCTTGTCCTTTATCCTCTATTTGACCAGCTTGGGGCACATTCAATCAGAATTGTCCAGGTGCTGCCTAGTTTGGGAAGGTTTCAGGATAACAGTCCAGCTGTGTGCATGTGTTACTCTCCATTCTCAGGACAAGCCTTTCGACTGCTGACATTTGGGTTGGGTGAGCACTTGGGCAGAGCTGTCTCTCAGTATTTTCCCTATTTTCTGCACACTGAAATGGCCAATTAGCTCTTCCTATCCCCAAAATTGGTCCCTCTGGCCTTTGTCAAAGTTTCCTGCTCTCAGCAGCTTTGTGTGGAAAAATACCTCACTTAATCCTCCACCTGCTGCTTAGGTAAAGGTGCTGCTTTTAAATTGATCTTTTCTCCCCACAGAAGAGAAATGAAAATTCTTCTATTTACCCCATGAAAATTCTGATTCTGATGACAAGCACAGGGAGAGGCTGGATGTTTTTGTAGCTGATATGTTGTGATTGAACAGTGCATTTAATAAATCCCAGCATTGTATGTTTTAGGTTAAGTCAAGAAGGAGAAGATTCTTTGTAGTCTCAGAATTACTTGGTTTCTCCAATATTTGATCTCTGGTTAAAAATGGCAAAGAAGCTTAGAAAACAAAATATTCTAGGCCTTCTATTAATCTAGAAAAACATGTTTCTTGGCCTCACACACCTTGATGGCTAAAAAATTGCAAATTGCTGTCCAATTTTTCTGAAGTCTTCTATTTAAAATTGGAACTGTCATGTTTGGTTTGGGAGTGGTGCTGGGTTAGGTTAAATTCTTTGAAGATGGAGCAAATGGCATGTAAAAATAAATTCCAAAATCACAATTTATCAAAGTACTAATTCTGTGTCTTCTGTCTTTTCTTTATTAGCATTCTTGAACAAAATTGCTCTGCATCTGTTGTTTTATCCAACAATTCTCTAATTAATTTTAGTAAAAAAAAAAACTTTGTTTTTCTTTGCCCTTTCACTTTATCCATGGACTAGTTTGGTTTGTGGGCTTTTTTTTTTTCCAGAGGGTCAGTCCACTGCGCAATGGTTTTATCTCATATTAAAGAGTCTTAGGAGTATTTGAGGGCCCTGTAGATCTTTACAGAAGATTGACTTTTCTGTCTTAATTGCATAAATTGCATCCAAGTGCCTCTGGGATATTGGCCCCCAAGGTGATCCATTCCCTTTATGAAGTTTAAGTGTTATGAATTGGACTGACTTTTCCTACTTCTGTTCCTTTGCTCAGTGGGCTAGATGTTTCTTAATTTGTTGTTTTTTCTCCCATGCTGCCCAAAGAAAGAAATTACCTGAGAAACCAAGTGAAAAATGAAGCAGAACTTATAAATTTTATGCTAATAGAAAAAGATGGAATAATCTAACATTGTATTAAAAGAGAAAAACAGCCACAAATCTTTAAGCTATGATGAGTGAAAAATATCTTTAAAAACATGGGTATCTGCCCTCTAGGAACATAATGGCAATGGAAAAAGTAAAAAAAAAAGATAAGCCTCTGTTCTCAGTGATACTGGTTTGGGGCAAAATTACAAATAATTCATGTATAAACAGATAAAACCAGAACTTGTTACATGGTGAAAAATCCTACTAGTAAAGGAGGAAAAACAGTTTCTTCTTGTCCTGTTCCCTGGAGCAGAGCCCGCCTCCCCCGGCTGTGCCCTCCTGGCAGGAGCTGTGCAGAGCCACAAGGGCCCCCTGAGCCTCCTTTGCTCCAGGCTGAGCCCCTGCCCAGCTCCCTCAGGGATTCTGCAGCCCCTGCCCGGCTCCCTCAGGGATTCTGCAGCCCCTGCCCGGCTCCCTCAGGGATTCTGCAGCCCCTGCCCAGCTCCCTCAGGGATTCTGCAGCCCCTGCCCGGCTCCCTCAGGGATTCTGCAGCCCCTGCCCGGCTCCCTCAGGGATTCTGCAGCCCCTGCCCAGCTCCCTCAGGGATTCTGCAGCCCCTGCCCGGCTCCCTCAGGGATTCTGCAGCCCCTGCCCGGCTCCCTCAGGGATTCTGCAGCCCCTGCCCGGCTCCCTCAGGGATTCTGCAGCCCCTGCCCAGCTCCCTCAGGGATTCTGCAGCCCCTGTCCAGCTCCCTCAGGGATTCTGCAGCCCCTGCCCGGCTCCCTCAGGGATTCTGCAGCCCCTGCCCGGCTCCCTCAGGGATTCTGCAGCCCCTGCCCAGCTCCCTCAGGGATTCTCCAGCCCCTGCCTGGCTCCCTCAGGGATTCTGCAGCCCCTGTCCAGCTCCCTCAGGGATTCTGCAGCCCCTGTCCAGCTCCCTCAGGGATTCTGCAGCCCCGTCCCAGCTCCCTCAGGGATTCTGCAGCCCCTGCCCAGCTCCCTCAGGGATTCTGCAGCCCCTGCCCAGCTCCCTCAGGGATTCTGCAGCCCCTGCCCGGCTCCCTCAGGGATTCTGCAGCCCCTGCCCGGCTCCCTCAGGGATTCTGCAGCCCTTCCCAGTTCCGTTCCTGCCCTGGGCAGGGCAGGGCCAGGGCCACTCCAGCCCCTCAGGGCCTTTGCTGAAGGATTTCAGGTGCCGGGGATCTCTCAGGAGGAAACTGCTGCGTGAATTGTCTTGTTCGTTGTCCAGAGAAACATTTCTGAAACGGTTTTTATCACTTGCAGCCTGTGATCGATGGTCTGTGCTGCCTCGCCCGGCTCTGCACCACGATGTTAACAGGTTTGGGCACTCTGCTGTGCTCTACAACAGGTAAGGGCACAGGGGTTCTGGGGCTTTGGGCACTCTGCTGTGCTCTACAGCAGGTGAGGGCACAGGTCTTCTGGGGCTTTGGGCACAGGTGTTCTATAGGGCATGGACATGAGTGGATGAGGAACTGCAGCACAGGCTGAGGGTCTGGCACTAACCCTCTTGTCCATGGAGCTTTGGGCTGCCCCATCCCTGGAAGGGTCCCAGGCCAGGTTGGATGGGGTTTGGAGCAGCCTGGCCTAGTGGAAGGTGTCCATGCCCATGACAGGGAGTGGAAAGAGGTGGGATTTAAGGTTCCTTCCCACCCAAACTATTCTGTGAATCTCTGAAAGTTTTCAGATCTTCACTCTTGTAATGTCTTTAGTATTCAGCTGTTCCCATCAGCCCTTCTGTACTGGGCTAAACTGAACCAGCTCACTTAGTTTTTTCAATAATTTGATTTTTTGTCATTATTTTTATATATATTTCTATTTTTTAGTTGTTTAATAGTTGTGCATTTCAATGTATTTCACACTTCTTTCTTAGCTGCACTGACAACATTTATTTCCAAATCTGAATTTCCCTCATGCTTTTTAAAATTTGTCTGTGTTTCACTTTACACACCTTTTCCTGTGGGGCTGCTCTTCCCCAGGCACATGATGTTCAGTATTTGGGTGAAATCTTAGGTGAGATTTTGGCTGTTAAGCCTTACAGACTGTAGTGATATCCCTGCTTCCAGATGAACAGCTGTTACTGGATCAGTACAACCAAGTTTGAGAAATTTATTTCACAGAAGTTCTAAAATAGAATGAAAGTCATAATACAGGTACTTATGATTTAACCAGAACTTCTCTTTTCAGCTGCCTTGGCCCTTCTTCACCGTATTTTTAAAGGTGCATTGACAGACACAGATGCATAGAGAATTTTTGTGTGACGTTTTTGTGTAACTGTTAAAATTTAGTGTTTTTTCTGGTGCAGCTGAGATACTGAAGGAGGTTTGAAATCCCCCACTCCTTTCTGTACAAATTCTTTGGGGGTTGTTTTGGATTTTTTAGTTGACACAATGACTCTGCTCAGTTGTTACCAGCCATGCAAAGTGTGGTTTTCTTACAGAGGAGCATAGAGAATGACAGCAACAGAATGTTTTGTCACAGTTTCTGAACTCTGGTTTAATGCTGTGGTAGAATCTCCCCAGTTTTTATCCTTCCTCTGTGTCTTGCCAGTGTGGATTACAAGAGGATCCCACATTTTTCAGCATTTTACGTATAATCGTGTTGATCAGGTCCCCTCAAAGTTTTGGCTGGAGGGGGACATTGGTCAATGACCTTGAGTAGCTTTGACTCTGTGTTGAGTCTCTCTGGCATCTCTGAAACAGTGAAATTTGTCTGACCTTTTCTTTAGTGCCTCTCTTAACCAAGAGCTATTTATTTGGATTTATATATGCTGGCATATAATAAAACACTTCTCTCAGACCTTAAATCCCATTTACTGGAGCAGTGCTCTGTCCATGAAAACAGCTGTGAGTTTTTCTCTCTTTGCTTCCATGTTGTCCAGCACCATGTATGTGTTTGGAGGCTTCAACAGCCTCCTCCTGAGTGACATCCTGAAGTTCACACCTGAGAGATGTGAGGCTTTTGGCAACGAGTCATCCTGCCTGGGGGCTGGCCCCGGGCTCAGGTGTGTGTGGGCTCTGCGCCCTCCCCGCCCTCCCCACTGCATCCCCTGGGAAAATGCAACACTGGAGCAGCAGCAAAAGGTGTTTGAAGACTGTCCTCCCAAGCCAGGTAGGTGTCCCTTCTTTCTGTTCCCTTTCCTGAAAGGTGTGCAGGCTTTTTCTCCTTCCCAACTCCTCCTGTGTTAATTGTGTGCCATTCCAAGGTCAGGTTTTACACTGGGGGCTGTGGTTGGGCTTCCATGTGTCCTGAGAGCCCTTCCTCTGGCCAGGGGTCATGGAGATGTGGAGGTGTTTCTATCTCCTGCTCCTGAAGCTGCTTGTTCATGAGATATTTTCCTACCCTGCTTCTTGGACTTACTTTTCTATCCCTAACAAGAATCACCAGCCAGGGACCAGGCCTGGACCATCATTCTGTAAATGTTTGCTCCAAGAATTGACCTTGTGAGAGCCAAGAATTGGCTGAAGAGCACCATGGGGCAAGGAAGGGCATCTGGATCTGATGGAGTGATCCTGTACTCTTCAAAAGAGACAGCAGGGATACTGCTTTAGGAAAAGTTTGGTTTTTTGGCAGGGGGTTGGTACCAGATGATCTTTAAGGTCCCTTCCAACCCAAACCATTCTAGGATTCTATGATTCTATGTATAGAGGAAGATAAAATGAATTAATGTTTTAAGGTCTGATTCCTGTGTTTCCCCTTAGGATAATTTTAAACAACTTTATCCTGATACATTCATTATACAGCCCTTGGTTCTGTAACAGATGTGCAGCCTTTAATTATTTAATAGAAACTGATGTAAGGGACATTGCCTTGCTGGGTTCCCAATGCACAGTAAATTTTCACAAAGCGCAGGCAATAAATAATTGGAAAGATGAATGAAAAGTTCAAGCTTCCCATGAAAATGCTCCACTGGAAAGCCAGGCTTGCAGAAGATGGGCCTGTGCTGGGGGATGGCCACCCACTGTCCCTGTGGATATCCTCTGGCATCACTTCCCTGGCTGTTAACGTGTCTGACTTCGTGTGCTTCCATGTCTTGGTGCATTATTTTCTGGTGGTGTGTTTTAGGGCTCCTTGGGCACTAAAAATGATTGCTGCTGTAAATAAAAGCAATCTTCTATCAGTTCAAACACATGAAAGTACCTGATTTTAGTTGCTAACAGAAAATCTACAGGCACTGCTATTTGGTTGTGTCTTTTGCTGTAAATAATCAAGTTCTTAGAGCTCTGTCAGGAAATGCCTGTTTTTGGTCATGCAGGTTTTTTTCTTTAATAGCTGTAGACAATGAAAAATGTGATCAGATTACAGACTGCTACAGCTGCACAGCCAACACAAACAGCTGTCAGTGGTGTTCTGACCAGTGTATCCCAGCACACAACAACTGCACAGAGGAACAGGTAATGGCTCTTAACACTTCCCTAGTTTAAATTTACCCTTTGGAATAGCAAATGTCCACATTTCCATCTGTCAGTGTTATGATCCCTGTTTTGTTATTCTCAGTGTGTATCTAGCTCAAAAGTGCCACATGTTTGGAGGTTTTTCAATCTGATCCAAGGGTTTTGCATGGTATTTTACAATGAATTTAGGAGGATGGCTGTGGGCAGGGGAAGAGTTGGAGGTTTCACCATGGTGATTATTCATTAATCACATTTTGGGTTTGATATCAATAGGGCTTTCCCTAGAAGAAACAAAATAGCCCTCTTGTAAAAGCTTTAGTACAGAAAACATGTCAGGCAGTGTTTTGGGGGAATATCTTGGATAACCAGTCCAGGCTGTGCCCAGTTCCACAGCTTTTGGAAATATAAATTGCCTTGTAGAGCTGGACTGTGATATTAGTGTTGTAATCATGGCTGTTATAAACCCACATGGCTGGAGATCAGAAAAAGTCTCACCTGTGCTATTTATTTTAGGTTCCTGTTATTCTCTATGACAATTGTCCTAAGGATAATCCTGCCTATTACTGTAACAAAAAGACAAGTTGTAAAAGCTGTGCCATGGATCAAAACTGTCAGTGGGAACCTAGGAATCAGGAGTGCATTGCTTTGCCAGGTAGGTAGTGCTACCAAATTCACCCACTCCAAAAGTTGTCACGAGTTCCTAAAAATTTTTGTTGGTTTTAACCCTAAATCTTTAGTTTTTAGTGTTAAGATGGAGCAAATAGTGCTGTTTAGTCATAACAGCTTTGGTATGACATTTATTTTGTAATAAATCCAGCAGGTCTGCTGGAATATTTTTCATTCCCAGTTGTCTGAAGAGGACTGTGATCACTCGTATAATTATTAGGCTCTATGTCATCTCTCCCTTTTCATTTGATAAAAGCTGTTGATAATAGGCTTCTGCAAGATATTAGATTTAATAATGCATGCTATTTAATTTAGAAACTAAAATTGTGCAAAAGCATAATGGCACATACTGGACAAATGAGGCAAGTAAGACCTGAAGTGTTTAAGAAGAATTCTCCTATCAGAGTGCTTCCAGTGGAGCTTACAGGAGTTGGTTATTAGTTCCCTTGCAGAAATTTATTTTTTTTAATCCCAATGACTGGGAGAGAAATACAGGATCTTCAGTGATTAACATTTGTAGGTAATAAAATATAGAGAAAGGGGAGAAAACCCATGAGACAGGACATTTTAGTGGATGTGGAAAGCCTTCCCCTAGGACAGGGTAGGTCTGGACATGTCCAGATCTGGTGTTTGCCAGTCTGCAGCAGTTTAAAAATGAGAAGACTTTGAAGAAGAGCAATGAAATTGAGAAAAACATCTTTTAGTGGCTTGTTTTATTTGATATAGAAAAAGGGATGATCTGATCATATGTGTAAAAAGCTCATCTGAAAAATTGACACCTGAGAGCTTTTCCATCTGTTAAGTCTGAATTCACATTGGAAATGCCCATGAGGTTTTTTTCTGCAAGGGAAATAATTAATCACAAAGTGTAAGGAGTTCTTCAGTAGTGGGGTTGTGCTCCGGTTGAAGCAGGGATTAATCCTGGTAGTTGGTGCTGTGGACAGGATTAGCACAACAACCCTCTCCTGCCAAAAGGTCCCCTGACAACTCTGGGTGAGTAGGTGGCTTCAAGACATCAACAAAATACAAATTTGTTTTTTTCCCCTCTTTCTCCTACAACAATTTTACTGTTCAACATTGTAATAGGTGCTTTGATTACAACATACGAATGCTGATGTCAGACTTCAGCTCCCCTGAACAGATTTCCTTCTCCTCCAATGTTGTTATGTATCAAGACTTCTCAGCACACCTCTAAGGCATACTGCCTTGGGATGGGGCTCTGGGTATTTCTTGGTGGTAGGGTTCATAGAATCATTAAGGCTGGAAAATACCTCCAAGATCATCATCATCAGCCTCTGTCCCAGCCTCACCATGGCCCTAAGCCACAGCACTAAGGGCCATGTCTGCTCATTTTCTGAACACTCCAGGGGTGGGGACTCCAGCACTGACCTGGGCAGCCCCTTCCAATGCTTGGCAACACCTTCAGGGAAGAAATTTTCCCTATTACAAAACCTAAACCTCTCCTGGAACAAGTTAAGGGCATTTCCCCTCCTCCCTGGAGCAGAGCCCGACCCCCCCGGCTGTGCCCTCCTGGCAGGAGCTGTGCAGAGCCACAAGGGCCCCTGAGCCTCCTTTGCTCCAGGCTGAGCCCCTGCCCAGCTCCCTCAGGGATTCTGCAGCCCCTGCCCGGCTCCCTCAGGGATTCTGCAGCCCCTGCCCGGCTCCCTCAGGGATTCTGCAGCCCCTGCCCGGCTCCCTCAGGGATTCTGCAGCCCCTGCCCGGCTCCCTCAGGGATTCTGCAGCCCCTGCCCGGCTCCCTCAGGGATTCTGCAGCCCCTGCCCGGCTCCCTCAGGGATTCTGCAGCCCCTGCCCGGCTCCCTCAGGGATTCTGCAGCCCCTGCCCGGCTCCCTCAGGGATTCTGCAGCCCCTGCCCGGCTCCCTCAGGGATTCTGCAGCCCCTGCCCGGCTCCCTCAGGGATTCTGCAGCCCCTGCCCGGCTCCCTCAGGGATTCTGCAGCCCCTGCCCAGCTCCCTCAGGGATTCTGCAGCCCCTGCCCGGCTCCCTCAGGGATTCTGCAGCCCCTGCCCGGCTCCCTCAGGGATTCTGCAGCCCCTGCCCAGCTCTGTTCCTGCCCTGGCCACGCTCCAGCCCCTCCAGGGCTCTCCAGAGCTGCCCCAGCACGGGAGGTGCCCCGGCAGTGCCAGCACAGGGACCCTGTGGCACTGCCCTGACCCTGCTGCCACCCCAGAACTGGCACAGCCCAGGGGCCACTGGCCCCTTTCCCACCTGGGCTCATGTTTTTCAATGGTTGTTTCACTACCTTGATTGTTGGGAAGGTCACCTGCATCTCTGGGTTTAGTTTCTTTCCCTTTCTTGTCCCCCAGAAAATATCTGTGGAACAAACTGGCATTTGGTTGGCAACTCCTGCCTGAGGATCACCAACGCCAAGGAGAACTACGATCATGCCAAACTGTCCTGTAGGTCCAATGGTGCTTTACTGGCTTCTCTCACCACCCAGAAGAAGGTGGAATTTGTTCTGAAGGAGCTGCAGAAGATTCAGTCTTCGGTGAGTGCCTCTCTTGTCTGTCTCTTGTGTTATAAAGCCGTGGCTGTGGAGAAGTCCTTGCTGGAATATTGTGTGCTCTGTACACAATGGAAATGCCTCTTAACCAAAACCAACTGATTTTCTTTTGAAATTCAGTGTACCCTCTGGGTGCTTCTGAGCTGAAATTGTAGAGAATGTAAATGGAAAGGATAAACATAAACATACACAGTGCCTTAGAGAGATCACTTTCTGTGCTGAAATCACACCTGCATTTCCCGGGTGGAATACCGGACTGCAGCAGGAGCCCTCTGCTGGCCTGTGCACAATATTTGATAAATAAAAGCCCCTTTGGGGCACTGGAGGTGTTTAATGTAAAGTGTTGAGTTATTTACTGCACTCAGAAAAGCAGCTGTTTAAAATGTCACCTTCTCACTCCACAGAGCTGCTTGGCTTATTGGGTGTTATTTGGGTGTCATTTAGTGGCAGGTGCTTTTCTGTCAGGCCCCGGGAGAAGCAAATTGGAATTTTTCCCTCTTCATGCATCAATGAAATAAATACAAATTTTTTCCAGTCCCTGGGAGAAGAAGGGAGATGTTCAGGGCAGGTTGTACAGGTGGTATTACAGCCCTAACAAAGAATGATGCTGTGCATCTCTTCTAAAATCCTGGATTAGCCTGGAAAGCTGCTGTGGCCTGATGGCACATCAGAATAACAACTCCTGGGTCCCAGAGGCCACTGTGGGAAGCATTTTCTCTAAGAAAAATGAGGTTGGAGGCAATAGGATTGCTTTTTTTCAAGAGAGAACATGCTTCAGTACTTAAGAGAAATATTCCCTTGTTAAAACAAGAACATTCCCTGCCTTGATGCCTTTTGTAATTTTAAAGTAGCATTTCAACATTTACAGTGTTTTAGAGGGGAGTCAATTTAGCCAAGCAAAGGTAGGGTGCAGTTTAAGCAGGATTGTTCATTAAATCTTCTGTAAAATTAGGAAGCCAAGCCTGGGATACGGTAAAAAATACATGATTCTGACAGCTCCAGGTGTTTCTGGATATTCCAGTAGGTGAGCGTAGAGTCAACTCCTAAGGACACATGGTAGCCCTTCCCTCACAGTGTTTAAATCTTTACACTGTGTAAAAAGCAATTGTTAATTTACAGGGTTCTTTTTCCACCCACAGAGTCCTTTGAAAAGTGAGCCTAAAGAGACTAGGAGCCTGTTTTAATGGATATTAGGATAGAATGCTTATAAGGTGGGAAAGTGTATCCTGAGCTGATCCCAGCGTGGGCAGCAGGGGAGGGGGGACTCTGTCCCTGTGCCCCTCCCTCCAATTCCTCATTCCTAAGGTCCCACCTGCAGAGCTGCCCCAGCCCTGGGGCCAACAGCAGGAGGACGTGGAGCTGCTGGAGAGAGCCCAGAGGAGGCCCCGGAGCTGCTGCAGGGCTGGAGCCCCTCTGCTCTGGAGCCAGGCTGGCAGAGCTGGGAATGTTGCCCTGGAGAAGGGAAGGCTCCAGGCAGAGCTCAGAGCCCCTGGCAGGGCCTGCAGGGGCTCCAGGAGAGCTGCAGAGGGGCTGGGGACAAGGCCTGCAGGGACAGGAGCCAGGGAATGGCTCCCAGAGCCAGAGGGCAGGGCTGGATGGGATCTTGGGAATGAGGAATTGTTCCCTGGCAGGGTGGGCAGGTCCTGGCACAGGGTGCCCAGAGCAGCTGGGGCTGTCTGTGGATCCCTGGCAGTGCCCAAGGCCAGGCTGGCACTGGGGCTGGGAGCACTGGTGGCTGTGCTGAGGGAGGCTCTGCTTTGCAGGTGCTTCTTTTTCAAGTAAACTCTATGTAGATGTTTAGTAATAACAAGAAAATATGTTGGTGTTAGCACGATCTGCTTTGTAACCCTGTTGCTGTTGGAAGCTGCAGCTCTAGGGTATAAAAGTGCATAAAATCAGTTTGAAGTAGGTGATGTTTACTTATTTTAGCAGTAAAGCCATGTATTATATCAACAGAGCTCCAGTGCTCCTCCCCAAAATGAAAGTGTGCCAAAAAATAAATTGCCACTAGAAATAGTGGTCTTATAGGATCTTTATATTATGAATTTTGTGGCTAGCAACACTAATTCAGATTTGACCTGCTTTTTTATTTCTAGCCCAAAACTTTGACTCCTTGGGTTGGACTGAGGAAAATCAATGTGTCCTATTGGTGCTGGGAAGACATGTCCCCCTTCACCAACACCCTCGTCCAGTGGCTCCCCAGTGAACCCAGTGATGCTGGATTTTGTGGATATTTAGCTGAGCCTTCCCAACAGGGCTTGAAGGCAGCAACATGTATCAACGAGGTCAACGGCAGTGTCTGTGAAAGGCCAGGTAATAGCAGCTGTCTGCTTGATTTCTATTTCCTGGAAGGTAAAGAGAATGCAATTTGTTACATTTTAAACCAGCTGCATTATGACTTTGCCAAAGAAAAATACTTCTGAACAAGAGTCTTGTGTACGCATTTCATGCAGGAAATGGGAATTTTAAAAATAGCTCACTATTTGCGCTGTTAACTGTAAAATATTTGAAGTACATTATTTTAATTATTTTTTTTCTTAATTGCATACCTACATGTGACATTTAGGGTAATTATGGTATGGAGCATTCTCCTGTTTCAAAGAAATAAAAAATTAATAGTAACTTTCTGATTGAATTCCCCTTTTTCCCCTCCCCTGCTATGTAGCCAGAGGAGGATTTTATCAAAGTTTGAAATTAATTGGCCAAGACACTTCGGAGATATGAGAACTTTGAAAAAAACAATCTATTTGCTTTTGGGAAAAGTCTTCCAGCTTTATTGAAACTGCATATCTTTTCAGATGGCTTGGTCTGTTAATTCTCCATTGTAGCTGATCATTTCTGAATACCAATTAGTGCCTCTTAAAGTATTAGGGAAGTTGGTTGATTAAAAAAAAAATTAGGTACACTGCAGCAGTTGAAATCATTCTTTGTGGAAGAGCAGGATGTGAATCCTGGATGTGAAACCTGAACTCAAATTCCATATGTTTTCACTTGCAGCACTTGGGTTTAAGCTTTGTGCTGGCTTTTATGGTCTGAGAACAGTCACTTGAAGCAAAACTTAAAGCATTGGCTCGGACTACAAACTGCTGAGTTAGTTCAGTGCTCGTTTGATGTCTGTAACTGATCAAATCACTTAAAGCATGTGCCTGTGAGCTCATGTAAAACAGGGCTCTGCCCTGCACTTTGCTGGGGAGGGTAACTAAGGAATGCATCAGCAGAACTGCAGAGAAAGAGACAACTGCTCCATGCCCAGAGCAGCTGTGGCTGCCCCTGGATCCCTGGCAGTGCCCAGGCCAGGCTGGACACTGGGCTGGGAGCACCTGGGGCAGTGGGAGGTGTCCCTGCCATGGCAGGGCTGGGCTGGGATGGGCTGGGCCCTAGGTCGGTTCCCAGCGGGAGCAGGGTGCAGCTGTTCCTGGCAGACTCTGATGTTGTCCTCCCCGCAGCCAACCACAGCGCCAAGCAGTGCCGCACGCCGTGCGCGCTGCGCGCCGCCTGCGCCGAGTGCACCAGCGGCAGCTCCGAGTGCATGTGGTGCAGCAACATGCAGCAGTGCGTGGACTCCAACGCCTACGTGGCCTCCTTCCCCTACGGGCAGTGCATGGAGTGGTACACCATGAGCAGCTGTCCCCGTGAGTCACGGTGCTGGGCTGGGGAACAGGCCCTGGGGGCCCTGTGGGGTGTGCTGGACATCTCTGGGATGGAGGGGACGAGGCCAGGCTGGATGGGGCTTGGTGCACCCTGCTCCAGCCAGAGGCTCCTGCCCATGGCAGGGTGTGGAGAGCCCTGTGGGGTGTGCTGGACATCCCTGGGATGGAGGGGATGAGGCCAGGCTGGATGGGGCTTGGTGCACCCTGCTCCAGCCAGAAGCTCCTGCCCATGGCAGGGTGTGGAGAGCCCTGTGGGGTGTGCTGGACATCCCTGGGATGGAGGGGATGAGGCCAGGCTGGATGGGCTTGGTGCACCCTGCTCCAGCCAGAGGCTCCTGCCCATGGCAGGGTGTGGAGAGCCCTGTGGGGTGTGCTGGACATCCCTGGGATGGAGGGGATGAGGCCAGGCTGGATGGGCTTGGTGCACCCTGCTCCAGCGGGTGCCCATGGCCGGGTGGAACAACACGGCCTCTTTCCAACCCGAAGCATTCTGCAATTGCCTGTTATCAAATCCAAATCAGGGTTTACACAAGTGTTTTATTCTGAAGTATTGTCTACTTACAGACTGTAAGTAGGAATTCCTACCTCATTTTAAAGAAATTATTTACTTTTTTGCCCCTTTTAGGTAGATGAGAGCAAACTGCAAAAGCTTCATGGCACTTTGGAATAGTGTATTTTCCTTTCAAACTGGAGTAAAAGGGCCTAAAAACTAAAAACAAGTGAAGATGTAGAAATTATTTTATTTATGTTGAATTCTTTAGGAGCTGGGTGTGAGCAGGGGCATTACAAGTAGCTCAAAATGTTGCAAAATATGAGATGAAGAAAATGAATTTAAGGAACATGAAAGTATGAACTTCCCATATTGCCAGAGGTCAAAAGTTGGAGGAAGCATCAGGCAGGAGATGAGTAAGCTAAAATAATGAAAAACAAACTTTTTTTTCTTTTTGAAGGCAAATATTGTCTATTTAAACATCAAAATAGAAAATATGCCTATCTTGCAACACCAAGAATCCAGAAAATATTTTTCAAGATGGTCTAGGGAAAGAAATAGAAAAAGTTTTAGCATGTAAAGAGTTTGTCACCCCTAAAATCCAATCCCATTAGAGAATGGAGGGGCTAAAGGGTGGAATTTTATTCTATTTGTATTCTATGCTTTTTGCCTCAGATAAATACTTGAAATAATAGCATGTGATACTGAAATGTGGTAGGAAGAGGCTCCAAGTGACTAAACTGGCTGGTTTCAAGCCTTTGCCTCCAGATGGCCCATTTGATCATCCGATCTATTTTAAATAAATCAGAGATGTTTTGTAGAGGGAACATTAACCTCTGGTGTTAGAGGGTGGCGTGTAATGGTTTGAAAAACCTCTGTGTGTGTTGTGCTGTTTTGTAACTCATTGACTATTGGAACCTTTGTTAATAGTTTCCTTAGACTCTGGAATAAATATGTTGATAGGAATGAATATATTGCTGTGAATATCAGAATAAATATTTCTAGATTTGATGAGATAAATATTTTGGTGAGATAAAAATATAGATTCTGCATTTTTTGTTGCCTGTGTTTGAGATAGTGATTTATTCCACAATTTTGTATCTTGGTTTGTTTTTTTTTGTAGCTGAAAACTGCTCAGGCTACTGCACGTGTGCTCAGTGCCTGGAGCAGCCGGGCTGCGGGTGGTGCACGGATCCCAGCAACACCGGCAAGGGCAGGTGCATGGAGGGCTCCTACCGGGGGCCGGTCAGGATGCCCACGCCAGCCACGCCAGGCAAGCACAGCCTGGAGCCTGTTCTCAATGTCAGCATGTGTCCTGCCGACACCAGCTACAACTGGTCCTTCATCCAGTGTCCAGGTAAACGAGCAGCGTTTCACTGTCCAGCGTTTGCACTGAGTGCAAGGGGAGAGAGTTCTTAGGACTGTGGTGGTGTCTCGTGTTCCCTCCTGTTAATGGAGGGGGGAGAATGTGGAATATAAGCAGGAATTACACACTTGGAGACGGAAGGGGCTGTGAAGCAGCTGAGCTGCACAGGTTTGCTGCATGAAGACATTATTATTAATTACTTGGGAGAAATTTTTCCTTTCCCTACAGATCTTTACGAGATTTTAACTTTTGTTTGTTTATTTATTTTAAGTCTGTTTGAAAGAAAGGCAAATCTTCCTTTGAAGGTCGTTTTAAGTGTTAATAATGCTTAGGATGATTTTAAACTAAAGTTTTTGGCACAAAACCAACACTCCCCTCCCCGTTCCTTGTAAATTCATCCCACCAGCAGCTTCCAGTCCAATGTGCATGTAATGTTTTGCAGTTCAGTTTTCAGTGTGTTGCTCTAAATTCCATTTTTTGATATACACCTGTCTTTGGGCCCATGTATTGCTAGCAAGAGACGAGAAGCTCTCAGGAAGGTGCATGAAATGGTTCCATTTGTGCCCTGCACAGCGCAGCTTCTGAGGGTCTCTGTGAGCTGTGTTTGAGCCCCAGCAGTCAGAGTTTTGCTGTTTGCTGTTTCCCACAGCGTGTCAGTGTAACGGGCACAGCCGGTGTGTGAACGAGAGCGTCTGTGAGAAGTGTGAGAACCTGACCACGGGCAGGCACTGTGAGACCTGCATCTCGGGCTACTACGGGGACCCCACCAACGGGGGCACCTGCCAGCGTAAGTGCACCCTGAGCTCCCACTCTGCTCATTCCTCTGCTGGCCTAACACACATTATATCCTGATAATTCATGCTTTCCTTCCTGCGGGCGAGGCTCAGTTCTTGTTTCTTCAAATCAAAGACACTCAAACTGATGAGTGGAATTCCTTTCACTGCACGTAAAGAGGATTTTATAGCCTCCTTTCTAAACTTGGAATGACCACAGTGAAAAATGTCTGTATTTTAGTGTTTGATGATCCTGTATTTAAAAGAAACAGTGTTGATCCAAATGTCATGAACAAATTTCTGCTTATCTAAGTTTCACCTTCTATTCCTTTTGGTTAATGTGTTCTGTGTTTATAGTTAAAATTGTCTGCTTCATAAAGGCTTGCAGTGTTTCATTGAAGACTTGGCTGGATTTCACTTGAGGATTAAGAGAACCCTGTTAAAATTGCATTTCAGTTTGTGAAGTGCTTTGGGACTCTTTGGCACAAAGAACCATTTTCAGCTGTGCAAGATCTAGTTAACAAACTGGGAAAAAGTCTTCCTTGAAAGACCAATTTAATATTGACAAATACACATGGAAGACTTGGAGTTTTGACCTGCAACCTTGTGGCATAGTTTTGAACTGCTGTGAATTTTTCAGTGCTGTGGCATGTGGAGACCAACTGTAAACCAGAGACCAGGCTGTGAGAGGTGCAGAAGTGAGGGAAGGTGCTTCTTGCTCCTAAGAGATTTAATCAAAGAATCATCAAACGGTTTGGGTCGGAAGGGACCATAAAACTCATCTCATTCCAATTCCCTGCTGTGGGCAGGGACACCTCCCACTGCCCCAGGCTGCTCCAAGCCCCAATGTCCAGCCTGGCCTTGGGCACTGCCAGGGATCCAGGGGCAGCCACAGCTGCTCTGGGCACCTGTGCCAGGGCCTGCCCACCCTGCCAGGGAACAATTCCTCATTGCCAAGATCCCATCCAGCCCTGCCCTCTGGCAGTGGGAGCCATTCCCTGGCTCCTGTCCCTGCAGGCCTTGTCCCCAGCCCCTCTGCAGCTCTCCTGGAGCCCCTGCAGGCCCTGCCAGGGGCTCTGAGCTCTGCCTGGAGCCTTCCCTTCTCCAGGGCAACATTCCCAGCTCTGCCAGCCTGGCTCCAGAGCAGAGGGGCTCCAGCCCTGCAGCAGCTCCGGGGCCTCCTCTGGGCTCTCTCCAGCAGCTCCACGTCCTCCTGCTGTTGGCCCCAGGGCTGGGGCAGCTCTGCAGGTGGGCTCTCACCTCAGGGAGGGGCACAGGGACAGAGTCCCCCCTCCCCTGCTGCCCACGCTGGGATCAGCCCAGGCACGGGGGGCTCTGGGCTGGATCATGTCCAGCTCTCACCCAGCAGCACCCCCAGGTCCTTCTCCCCAGGGCTGCTCTCCAGCCATTCCCCACCCATCCTGTGGTTGTGCTCTGCCTTGCTCCAGCCCCATGCTGGACTCTGCACTTGGCCTCGTGTAACTTCATGAGGTTCACACAGTCCCGTGTCTCTGGTCTGTCCAGGCCCCCATTGTGCTATCCAGGTACTGTTGGGGGCCATCTAGATGTGTCTGGATGTCCCCCTCCCCTCCTGCATGCTGACCTTTCCAGTTTGTGTCACTAGCACACTTGCTGTAGGTGCCTCAGTCCCAGTGCCCCTGTCACCAGCAGAGATGTTAAACAGCACTGACCCAGTGCATTATGTTAGTGGAGTATGGTGAGGTGGAATGAGACAATTAGATACAGTGATGGAAAAGGTAGAATAAAAATAACGTTCCTCAGAGCAGTGTCAGTACTTCTGTGAAATGAGTGTGAGTGGTTTGTGGCCAGCCTGGAAGAATGAGCTGGAGGTGATTAATGAGTGGGCATTGAAGACTTTTTATTGCTTCTTCCAAATGAGGTGACAATCCAGTAGAAAATAGTTGGATGTTAATTTAGGATGTTTACTGGGAGCAGTGCTGACCTTTTGGATGAACATGAGGGTCAGTAACTGCAGCATGGAGTCCTGTTTCCTCAAGAGGAGGGAGGTGGTGATGGTTGAGGCTATGAAGAACTTCCTAATGGACAGATGTGAAGAAGGGGGTTAAAAACTCACAGGGATACAGCTGCCTTCCTTAGAGCAACAGGATATGGAATTCCAACACACAGCACAGTGATAGGGGCTCAAAGGAGAAGGTGCATCCCCAACACTTGATTTCACAACCTTATCTGCCAGATAAAATACTGCTGATACTCATAAACTCATTTCAGGAGAAGATACTTTGAAATGCTCCAAAGTTTACTTGAAAGTAATGAATAAATTGAGGCTGAGTTGACTGAGAAAATACAGAATTCTACCCTGAGCTTTCAGTTTTAATCACTGGATCACAACGTGCCTGTTGGTAGGTGTCACTTTTCCATGTATGTGGAAATGGAGAATAAGTTCCTTTCGACTCTTGTGCATGAGGATTGTCCCAAAACGGTTTGTTGTTGAGATAATGAATGACAGACTGAAATCATCCAGATACCTGCAAAGGCAATTAGAAAATGTGTAGAGAGATTGTGGGACAGCGTTTATTCCTTATCTGATGGAACCAGTAGCTCATGTCAGAAGTGCTTTGCTCTCAAGTGCTTTGGACCCAGGTTTTTAATTTGCTGTGATTTAACACTGTTTACTGGGAAGGGGAAAGAATGAGGGAAGCAGGAACCTGGGCAGAAAGACTGAGGTGGATTGGGAAAGGGAAAGCAAGAGCAAATCACCCTATCTGATGCAGCCAGGCTGATTTCTGCCTATTAGTCATTTTTGCTTGGTGAAAACCTTTCCAGAGGGGAATTCTTCAGATAAGGATTGGCTGATGGGTAGCAGAGCTAGCTCCTGTTTTCTCCCTTCTCTTAGCTGTGGTCCTTCCATCCTTTCCCATTAGTAATGTGCTGATTTCACTCTTTGTGCATTTGTGAGCAGTACTTAGTGCTGCTGTGTTTTTAGAGGCCATGGTCACAGCCATGCTGCAGACTCTTGTTGTACACTCCAGCCTGACACACACACACAAACATCTGTGTGCTTGTACACTCACTGCCTAGTGTGAGTCCTGGCATCATGGAATGGTTTGGGTTGGAAGGGTTCCAGTAGACCATCCTGTTCCACCCCATCCATGGCAGGGACACCTCCCACTGTCCCAGGTGCTCCAGCCCCAGTGTCCAACCTGGCCCTGGGCACTGCCAGGGATCCAGGGGCAGCCCCAGCTGCTCTGGCCACCCTGTGCCAGGGCCTGCCCACCCTCCCAGGGAGCAATTCCTTCCCTATATCCTGTCTAACCCTGCCCTCTTTTATTTCAATGCTTTCAGTCCTGCATATGTCTGTAAAAAGTCCCAACACAAGATTATATTACTTGCGTTGAAAATATTTTGTCAACCTGCAGTTATTTCCCTGAAAAAATTGTTTGCATCACATCATACGCCCTGGTGTTGGCAGAGCTAGGCAGATAATAACTAAATGGCAGGTAAATCACTCCTCAGAGGTTGCTTTTAGGAAGTGTCCAAGTAGAGAAGTATTAATCAAGAAGGGCAGGAAATGCAGCACATCAAATGTAAAAATAGCTGCAAGGTGCTTTCTCTGCATTCAGGATTTTTCTGAATTTTCTGGTTAAAGTTTCCCATGAAAATATGCTGGTGGGAGATAAGGAAGTCATTTGCAAGTGAAGGGAAGGCACTATTATGCCTGGAATCAGATTGCAGCTCTGGCAGCGCTTCTGAACACATCCACACAGCCTTCATGATGGCCCATGAGTTGCTGGTGCCATGGGCCTGCCTGATTCCCTCTGCCAGGCCCCAGGGGGCCCTGCAGGGCAGCTGAAGCACGTGGCATGGAGTGTTGGGCAGGTGGCTGATGGTGTTGCCATTGGGAAGCTGACCCATCACAAACACAGAAAGAGCAGTAAGGAGCCCCAAGACCATCTCTGAGTGAGCCCGTGAGGAACACCAGCAGGGGGAAGGTGCTTCATCATCAGGCTGTTATTACCAGGATTCACAGTCAAAAAGCCATTTCCAGTGCTTGTGGGTTTCTGCTCTATCCTCTGACTCCAGTGGGAAATTGTCCTTTGTAGACTCCAGTGGGAGTCTAGAACATTCTGTCAATAGTTTATTTCCAAAATTTAAAGTTCTCTGAAAAGCCATGAGAAGATGTCTCTGTGCATATTCTAGTTATTTAGTGAATGATCTCCAGTTACATGCTTGTAGGAAAGTGGATAAATGAATAGATTCTGTTGTTTTAAATAGAGATATTTGAGTGTTCAGTCTTCTTGATATGCTAAAGAGCAGAGAGGAGAGAAAAATTACTGTTACGGCTCAAGATGCTGCAATCTGCCTTTAAACAACCTGAGGTTAAAAAATTAAGAGAAAATTCATGTATGTTCATATTGAATATTGATCCAACGTCACTTTGCTTCCCTTGTGCAAAGCATAAGCAAAGAAGTACAAGACATTCTCAATAGTACTAAGACTTATTTTTCTTTAAGTGGCACTAATGAAAAGAGTGTTTCCTTCACAGAGCACAATTATTTTGTTGAATTTTCATTCAGTCTCCTTGTTCCAACAATAGGCCTTTTTGCTTCTTCCTATTTTGCTCTGTGTTGCTGCTAGGAAACCACTCATCCACATCTGAGAAGCACAATTAAGTGTCCCTGATACAGTATAGCTTCCATTGTGTGCCAACAGAAAGAAGATATCAAAAGGATTCCTAAAATAAGGTCCAAGGCTGGCAGAGATATTCAGGATGGGGACTTGATGTCTAAGAATCTGCTGGTACATTGATTGGCATGGCTGCTTAATGAGGAGGAATATGTCTTCTTAACAAGGAGGCTTTGGCCTTTAAAGCATCTTGTTCCCAGCAAGCTCAAGGACCATAAACAAGGGATCTTTGCTTTGTGTAGTTTTTCCCTTGTATTGTACACTCTGCTGTGCACAGCTCCAGATGGATGCACCTGCATTGGCAGAGTGACTCCTAAATGGCACCTACATGCCAGAGGTTGTTAAATCCGTTCTTGCAGTGACAGTGAACAAGATGTCAAAGTCAACTGGCTGTGTAAGCTTTGTTCTTACTTGTTGGCTTGGTTTTGGGGTTTTTGTGAATGATTCTCCTCTACATCTTTGTAAATAAAGGTCTCAAAGTGTGTCAATATGAGCATTTAACTTAAATCAGAAGGATTTTTATGAAGAAAATCTCCTGTATGTCCTCACCATTCTACCTTGGATCTTGAGCAGACTCAGGTGTATGAGGTGGTCTGTTTTGGGCATGCCCCAAACCTGAAGTTGTTCAGGTTTGTTTCAACCACAACTCAATGACATTCTGCACAAAGTTATTCTAAAATATATTGGGGAATGCACCCCAACTAGTCCCAGCATGGACATCATCACCATCTTAGCACCAGATGTTTTCTGCTGATGCTGTTGATAATGACATTGTTTCCTCAGTAGAACTGATGAAATATTATTTTTCCCAAGCCTGTTTATTTATTTCTGGAAAAAGCCCCTGAAGTCCCATGGGCTTTGTTTTATTTTCCCAATTCTTCTCTCAAGAGTTTTGAGTTTGGCTGAAATGTGTTAACAAGCCCAAAATTATTTCAAATATTGTCTTTTCCTTCTTAGCTATGATAGCACTCCTGCTGTCTAACAATAGGAGAGGAAGTTAAATGAATTTTTGAGGCTAAAAAGCTGAGTCTGATGATGATTTCATACAAACCACCAGTCCTGGGTAGCCTGTGCTTGCTCTGTTTTGACGCACGGTTCTATTTTCATCTGCCTTCTGTAGCACAAAGAAAGCAAAGGGCACCAAATGGGTTTTCATCTGCACGTTAATTGTTGATGTATCTCAGTTTGACAACTAAAGTACTTAATTGCTATTGAATTTCCTTCTCTTCTTCATTCAATGTTGCATCTTCTCCCCCTCTGCTCAACAGCTTGCAAGTGCAATGGCCACGCGTCCGTCTGCAACACAAACACAGGGAAATGTTTCTGCACAACCAAGGGAATCAAGGGAGATGAGTGTCAGCTGTGAGTTCATTTCCCTTTCTTATTTGCAATGAAAAATTGTGCACGTACCACCTTAGACACCCCTCCTCCCCCCCATTTTTAATGGTTGTGTTTATGATGTCTCTGCTCATTTCTTCCTCCTGACAGTTGACTGACTGCACTGAGGGTGCAGCCAGCCGTGGGTCCCCTGGGGAATATCATGAACAGGATGATTTCCTGAAGAATTCCAATTTTAAAAACATTTCAACTGGGAATATCATGCAGAAGGGATGGGTGAAAAAATCCCCACACCCCAAACTATACATAGAATCACAGAAGTGTTTGGGTTGGAAGAGACTCTGGGCTCATCCCATTCCACCCCCTGCCATGGCAGGGACACCTCCCACTGTCCCAGGGGGTTCCAAGCCCCAGTGTCTAACCTGGCCTTGGGCACTGCCAGGGATCCAGGGGCAGCCCCAGCAAATCTGGGAATTCCAGCCCAGGCAGGAATTCCTTGCCAAGATCCCAGCCCAATCTCCCCTTTCCCAGTGGGAGCCATTCCCTGGCTCCTGTCCCTGCAGGCCTTGTCCCCAGCCCCTCTGCAGCTCTCCTGGAGCCCCTGCAGGCCCTGCCAGGGGCTCTGAGCTCTGCCTGGAGCCTTCCCTTCTCCAGGGCAACATTCCCAGCTCTGCCAGCCTGGCTCCAGAGCAGAGGGGCTCCAGCCCTGCAGCAGCTCTGGGGCCTCCTCTGGGCTCTCTCTGCTTTGCTCTATCCTTCAGTATCTTCTTTTTACCTGGTACATTTCACCGTCTGTGCTCATTTCACCGTCCGTGCTCTCTGATGCTGTTCATGCGAGTGTAAATATATCCGAAATGAGCCTTTGACATTCAAGCAGTTTAATGGAGCAGTTTTAGAGCAACAAATTTGCTGGAGGTTTTTCTGTAACATAACAGAAATGCTTTTAGTGTAATGTTAGGGGAAATAATTTAATTCCAAATAATTTCATTGCCAGGTTTATTTTTAAAGCATTGCTCACATGAGTAAACATTTATAGGATAGAACCTGAAATAGCCATAAATGACTAAGCTAATCCAGTTCCATGCATTGTGGAGAGCTAATAAATACCTTCCAGGTGGATGCAAACGTTAATATCCAGAATTTTATATTGCATTTTTACTGCATGTGAGTTGGACTTGGAGCGAACGTGGAATTTCTTCATCAGCCCAGTCTAGCTCAGACATTCATCTTTAATTGTGTACAGCTCTCAGCACAGGTTGTATTTTCTGGTATTTAGTGCCTGGGAATAAACAGAACTGCAAAGAAAGAAATCCATTTATTAAAAAATGTATATTCTTTTTAGGTGTGAAGTTGAAAACAGATATCAAGGAAATCCACTTAAAGGAACGTGTTACTGTGAGTACCCTTGGCATTTTGTTTGGAGATAAAAAATGTGCTCAAGTTTAAAATAATTTATTTAAAACTTGTTTCAGTTGCCTCAGCATGTGTTTAAAGTATGGGGGATTAAGGAAAGGACTAAAAATAGCTGTAAAAACCTTCACTTTTCTCAAATATGTTGTTTAAAGAGAATGAAAATACTTTTCTTGATAAGGTCCATGTGATGATTAGATCTTTTGAACAATGTTTTGAATGTTTTTCATGTGACTGAGATGAAATCTGGTCTTTTGGAGAGCACTCTAAACTATATTCCTAACAGGTAAAAAACAAAGAGTGTCCTTTGAATTTTTAGAAATGCAAAATACTGTTTATTTAAAATTCTGGTCTAGGTTAGAATGGATTTCAAAATTGCCACGTTTCCTCTGAAATGAGTAGTTGGATTCCCATGCAGTTCCAGAAGATCCTTTGCCAAGATTCAGATTACCTAATGGAAACTTTCCAGCTTCTATTTGCAAATATTAGCAATCAGCAGCCTGGCAGGCGTGGAGAGATGGAATCTTAAATTACATAAAATCTCCAGTAGTGGTTTTGTCCAGCACAGGAATTATCAACTGCCTGGTGTTGGCTTATTTGAATTCTGCTTGTGTGGCCAAACAAGGGCACTGCTGGCTCCTCGTGGCATCTCTGTAAGAATGACCAAATTCCTTGCTGAAATGGCAGGGATGGTCAAATGGGCAAAAAGTGGGGAAAGACAAAGCTTTGCAGCTCTTACAGGAAGAACCTTGTGCTGCCCAGATCCAGTCTTGCTTGGCTTCATTCCCTGTTTCTTTGTGCTGTGTCTGATGGACACCAGCAGCTTGTCTGACTTGTGTCAGTCCAATGAGGGGTCACTGGGAGGCAGTGAGAGAAAAACAGCACCTGGTGTGTCAATTTCTGGTTATTATTGCTGGGAATATCCCTGCATGGCTTCAGGAATGTGCACAAGTCACAGCAGTGTGCAGGAGCGGAAGGGAACTGAGGTGGTGAGTGCATCCCCGCAGGTGGCTGTGGCTTACACCAGCCCGGGCAGACGGGAGCAGGGAAGGACAGACAGACAGAGCAGAGGCTGCTCCTGGCATGCCTGGGTGGGATGTGTCCCAGAGCAGGATGGCAGCTGGGTTCATCACCAACCAGCTGCTCTGTAGAACCTCTCCAGGAAAATCTGCTGATGTACAGAAACCTGGAATGGGGGGACCACTGTCCCCTTCCAAGTGGGAATTGCAAACTGGGAATTACACAGCTACTGAACTTTTCTGCTATTCCCTTTGATCACAGAGGTATTGCAGGCTGGAAAAGTAAATCTTTTGGCATGTTTTTTACAGTGGTAGGAATATTGATTTAGATCAAGGCTGGAGGCTGTTGCCTGGCAAGTATAAGCCACCTCTCTTCCCTCTCTAGGCTCAGCTCCTGGAGTTTTCTGTTCCTTATGTGGGATCATATGTAGGTTGAAGTAATTTGTAGCAGTGTCACGATGATAGTGTCGTGTCCTGGTTGTCCAAGAAACCCTTCAGTGACATCATGCCTTCCTTTACAGAAGTTACTTTATTCCAGGAGATGGGATAACTGTCTCCCTGCATTCCTTACAGATACTCTGCTCATTGACTATCAGTTCACCTTCAGCCTTTCCCAGGAGGACGATCGCTATTACACAGCAATCAACTTTGTAGCAACACCTGAAGAGGTAGATTTCCTGTTTTCCCTTTTAACTTTGTCCTTTGTCTTCTCTTGGCCCTGGAGGCAATGAGTTGTTACAGTTCTGTGGGCCTTTGGCTGTAGTCCTGTGATGTGGAAGGTGTGTCCTGCTCCATGAAGCACCCAGAGCTCTTTGACCTTGGCTTGGCTGTGCAGTCCCAAATCATCACAGGAAGATTTCATAAAGAGCCACAGCTGATTCTTACCAGTTGTTGGAACAACCTCTGAGCCATTCCAGTTTTTTTAAAATCACAGACCAGTTTGGGTTGGAAGGGACCTTAAAGCTCATCCTGCTCCAACCCCCCCTCCATGGCAGTGACACCCTCCACTGTCCCAGGCTGCTCCCAGCCTCAGTGTCCAACCTGGCCTTGGGCACTGCCAGGGATCCAGGGGCAGCCACAGCAAATCTGGGAATTCCTCCCCACCCTGCCAGGGAACAATTCCCAATTCCCAGGATCCCATCCATCCCTGCCTCTGGCACTGGGAGCCATTCCCTGTGTGCTGTCCCTGCAGGCCTTGTCCCCAGTCCCTCTGCAGCTCTCCTGGAGCCCCTCCAGGCACTCCTCAGGCGCTTCTCTTCTGCAGGCTGAGCAATCCCATCTCCCTTGGCCTGGCTCCAGAGCAGAGATGTTTTGCTTGTTTTCACCCCACATCTTGTGTCTCAGTTCTTCCTTTGATATTCTGTACACATGACTCCTTTGTTGTGTTTTCCTTGAGGAGGAGAATACTTCTTCCAGAAAATATAGTATGTAGTTTTTAGCTTTATGTATTTTCTTTATGTAACAAATTTCAAGATAATTTTTTTAGCAATGATTTCCTAGGAAACAGTACAGTAAAACTGCTTATCCTAAAAATGGGGTTTCATTTTTGTTTCTTCCTTTAGCAAAACAGAGACCTGGACATGTTCATCAATGCATCTAAAAACTTCAACCTCAACATTACTTGGTCCACAAGTTTTGCAGGTAAATTGAGGATGATCTGAGTAACTCAGGAGCTTCTTTTATTTAGCAGTTTCTGAAAAAGGCAAATTTAAGTGGAAAAACTCTGGGGGGTTTTTAACCTGTGTACTTTTTGCATAGTGTTCTTCAATTGTCAGCCTGAGGGGGGAAGTAAAATGTTTAAAAAACCCTATGTTTTCAACTTTAATAGTGTTATTTTGTAAACATTGAAAGTGCAAATTTGATTTTTTACAATGCAACATCTTGGCACACAGTGGTTTTGATAATGCAGTGCAGCTTAACATAGTTGGTTTTGAATGAATAGTTAATTTTTTAAAATTAGAATTTAGGATGGTTTGCCCTTTTGTTTGTTTTCTTAAGTACACCTTGAAATATCTTTTCTTGCTGCTCTTTACAACAGCTGGCACACAGGCTGGGGAGGAAATTCCAGTTGTTTCCAGAACTAATATAAAAGAGTACAAGGACAGTTTCTCCAATGAGAAATTTGATTTCCGCAACAACCCGAACATCACCTTCTTTGTTTACGTCAGCAATTTCACCTGGCCCATAAAAATACAGGTAGGAGCTGCTAATATATGTCAAATTGTTTAAAGGTGCTTTCTCTAATTTCTCTCAAAACTGTGGCAGTTTGCTGTGCTTGGAGGAGTCCAAGCTGAACCAGGCTGCTGTAATCCCAGAGCAGACAGGGTCTGCTGTTCCTGGGTAAGAGGAACAGGGTGTGAGGAATCTTCTGATGTTGCCTCAGCCCAGTGCATCTGAAGGTGTGCTGTGAAATAGAGACACTCATTTATTTACAGGGCCGTGTTTGACAGGGTGTCTGACTTCAAATGTGCAGATCTTGATGTTGTAGAAAAAGCTGAAAAGGAAGCCTGGAAAGAGCAGACAGAGGAAATGCTTTAGTAGCTCTTTAGTGCCTGGTACTCAAAGGCCCAGCTCAAGGGCCACCCCCTTTCTCCTGCTGCTGCCTCTGGCTGGTGGCATGTGCAGGACCAGCAGCTCATCCTTCCCCTTTATTCAGGGTAGGTGGTTGGCAGGCAGTGCCTGGGGCACCAGGCTGGCCATGGGGATGAAGTGATGCAGAATGAGCAGGGATGGAGCTTGGTGGTGATAAAATCAGACAGAATCACTCTGAACGGTGGTCCTAAGATCAGACAGAATCACTGTGTGATTGGGGGTGATAAAATCAGACAGAATCACTGCGTGATTGCAGTCACGGATCCTGCAGCTTCTGAGGCAGCTCACAATTCAGAGCAGCCTCAGCCACCTTCTTGCAGTGGGCTGGTCAAGGGTCAGCTCCCTGTGTGCTCAGAGTGATGTGGGTGTTTGAAGGACAAAATCCTTGGAGGTCTGGAGCAGAGATCATGGAATGGTTTGGGTTGGAAGGGGCTTTAAAGGTGCCACGGGCAAGGACAGCTTTGGCCAACCCAGCTTGCTCCAGCCCTGTCCAACCTCCAGCAGTTACAGAGATGGGGCAGCCACAGATCTCAACTAAAGCTTGGCATATTTGAATTCTGCCTCATCAAAGAAACTTGGTCAAATATGGGAACCCAAATCCTTCCATCTTCACCCTTGTTCATGCAATTGTTTTGTGGAAGCTGACATTTCACATCAGTGCACTTGGTGTTTCAAACGTATTGGTCAGGCAAACTCACTCTTTCAACAAAAATAATGCACAGGATAATACTGAGCAAGAAAATGAGATCCACCTGGAAAAAAGATCCTTAAGCTATAGTGGTATTTTCCCTGAATTTTTAAAAAAGTATTAGGAATACTTGTGAAATGTTCTTATCACCTTTTCCTAAAGATACTGGGTTTTAATTACTCGGGAAACTTTGTCTTGTTGATTGCAGACTGAAGATTTGGCAGGTTGGCTTTGGACTCTTTTTAATATTACTTACAGTTTTGATTATCAGTTTGCAGCTGGAGAGTTTTTACTTCATAAACCGGTAAAGTCTTAGTTTATTTTCAAGTCCTGAGTATTAAATATGGAGGAGCTGATGAGCTGCAATGTAAAATCTTTGTCATTGGACACTCAAGTAGCAAGTCCCAAACCTCTTCATTTTCATGTAAGTACTACTTGTCATAGGGGAAATAGCATCTGTGTACAAAGGTGAGCACTTATGCAATGATTTATTTAAATATTTGAGCTTCTCTTTCATCAAATTCATAAACGTGAGAGTCAAGAAAAAAAATTAATACTTTTTTTTTTAACCTTATGGGTTATTTTGATCGATATTTGAATTTCCATAATCAGTGCTGGGCTGTACCTTACCCTGATTTATTTCTTTGTTATTTATTGCTGCAGAACTGTGTGTTAGGGATACAGCTGATTGGTTTTTCTCTTACCTCTGCTTACAGCATCCCCTCTTCCCTTCCTCTCCTGGTTTCCTTTACTTGTATGGTTGAAACATCTCTTGCTGCTTTGTTTTCATATGCTGAGCAATGGCACAGCTTGACTTCTGGCAGTTCTTATTTTATCTCTCTGCTTCTTGCTGGCTTTCAAGACATTGCTAATGAATCCTTTCCTCTCCTCAATACAAAGTCTCTCTAATTGATCCTCATGTCCCTTTCGAGGTTAGCTCTGAGGATGCAGCTTTCAAATAGTTTTGCATCTTTGACCTGAGAGAAATACTTAGATGGCAGCTTTCCCATCCCTGATCTCCTTATCCACTTAATTTTACTGTTTGATTTCATTTCTCATAGTTAAAGAGTGAACTTTGATTCTCTTACAACACTTAACCTCTCTTAATCCTTAATTTAATGTGAATGTGCTTGTATGCACTCAATCCAAGTTAATGTTTTATCACCAGCTTTTCTTAATATCTTTATTACTTGCCAAAACAAAGTCTAAAATAGCATCAGCTTTTCTTCATTGAGACACAGTTTTTGTGAAGAAGACTGGCAATGACCAGCAATCTGCAGTCCGGAGAATTTCTGTTAGTTTCCTCTTCAGTGCATATCTAAAACCCAGGACTCACCGTGTCCTCTCAGGTCTTGTGCAATCTGCTGTGAGGGATTGACCTTCCCTCAGTTGCAATCTGTGTCTCTACCTGTCCTTTCCATACCCCAGTTTTCTTCCTTTTCGTGAAGTCGTGGCTCTCTGTAGTTTGTGTTCAATATGATAAAATAGAAACTAAATCATGGTACAGGTTTTTGGGACAAAGATTTTTTTGGACAAATGCCCAGAGAAGCTGTGGCTGCTTCATCCCTGGAAGTGTTTCAGGCCAGGTTGGATGGGGCTTGGAGCACCCTGGTCTAGTGGAAGGTGTCCCTGCCCATGGCAGGGGGGCTGGAACAAGCTGATTTTTAAGATCCCTTCCAACCAACCTCATTCTCTGATTCTGTGATTTTAAGATTTCTTGGCCATCAGTCCTTGACTCATGCCATGCTACATTCTTCTCAGGAGTAATTTCCTTCTATTATACTTTCCTATACTTTCCTTCTCTCATTTGTTTTTTCAAGGGATTCATCCCTGATTTCCCTGCAGAAAAGTTCCTGTGCTGTTGGGATCAGTCCTTCAGGGCAGACTGGCTCGTTAATTAAACCTCCATGTTGCAGTATGGGCAGGATGCAAACTGTTCTCTTATCTCCTAGCTTGTCTCCTCCAGTATTCCTCACTGCAACTCCACTATTAAACTGTCACACGGCGACAGAACATGTTTCAATTTCCTTTGGAAATTACACTGATTTTAATAGAGTATGTCGAAGGCAGGAAAACTCTGCTCCTGCCAAGCTGCTGGAAATTATTCTGTCCTCACGTATGCGCATCACCTGGCAGCTCATGCGTGTGTTTGGGCTGCTCCTGGGCAGTGCAGCATGTCCCAATTGTATTTTAGGGGTTTATTCTTTGTTTGACTATCTTAGTAAACTGTCATTGTGCATACTCACTTGTCCTGGCTTATTTTCAATTTCAATGCAACAGATGTATTTAAACATGAGTGTTTATGTAGATACAAAATCTTGGAACAGAAAACTTTATAAATGTAGTTTTTACTGCAAAGCAATTCTACAATTCACCTTATTTTGTTTTTCTAAGTATTGCAAACTTTATCTTGAAGTCCTTGATAGAAATCTGTCTCTTATTTATTCTCTCTCCTTGTCTGTTAAAATCTGCACTTGGAAAGTGTAAGTGCTCCTTTGTATAAGAGATGGCTGTGTCCCTGCCAATGCTCAGTTCTGGCTCTTCTTTCCCTGTCTTGCTCCACCTCTTTTTCAAACCACCTCAGTTCATTTATTTTTTTAAAGTATGTTAGTTTAGGATGTCTTTCCCTGCCTGGTTAATGACTTAAAATGATCATTCAGTAAAAGAACTAAAGCAGCAAAATGCAGAAAGCCTTTAAAATACAGCAATCTTCTTCCTAATTTCTCCTTTCTGAGCAGTTCCAAGCATGAAGTAGTTCACTTAAAGCCTTACTTTGCCAAGCTTTCCTGAAAATCCCGGTAGGGTCTTGTGAACAGTGTCTGGATATTTCCATTCTCTTTGCTTTGTGAGCTCATCTTTGCTGCAAGTGTTGGACACACGGAATTTTGAAGCATTTAGCAAACTCCAACTGTTCACCTTCCTGTCCTCAGCCTGGCTCTAAACATTCCCTATCTTCCCCCAAACTGGAGTGCACCCTTTAGGAAAGGACATTAGTGGGCGTTGAAGGATTGAGATTTTTTTACACTTACGCAAATGTAATAGTAATCTTTCCCCCACTGTTCTTCCTCTTTGCTTAATCTTCACTTTGAGATTGCTTTGTTATTCTTTCCAAACTTAGCTCAGAGTAGAAGAGAGACATTGACTGTAAATAATCTGCTGTACAATAGCACAGTAAGAAGTAAAGGGATTCAGTGCGGAAACTTCCAGAGGAGTTCTCTTCCTGGGTTTCAATCCATGCAAAGTCAGCTCACTCTGAGGTGAAACTGCACTTCTGGAGCTGACAAGTAGTTAATGGTGAGAGTTTGAAACTCTCTTAGATACCTGTGTAAATGTCAGCAGGTTTTAACACTGTTTAAACTTGTATGTATTTGCCTGGGGCCAAGTCCGGTGAGTGAATTCCTCTCCAGAGTGTACAGGAGGGTGAAAATTCCATCTGCTAATACAGGAAACTCTTCCCTGGCTGCAAGATTTCTGTTTCATCACAATTTACTGCTGATGGTGTTTGCTACCACTCACTAAATAGAAATTGGTGGTTTCGTCTTGTTTCATACCCAAACGATTGTTTATATTCACTAACATTCTGTCCCATTTGATATTTGACTTTTTTCCTCTCAGATTCCAAGCATCTTGCATTGATCTCTACGTTCTGAGAATGTGTGAGACATTTAGGAGCTGATTAAGGCAAAACCAGTTTGTAATTGTATCATTAACTGGCAATTGCCTCCTGTCTTTCCTTCGTGTTGGTTGAAGGATTTTGATTTGAACACGCTTAAATGTTAATTATGAACCAAATGCTTCAAGAAACAAAAAGAGGCGAAGGAATTTTGCAGCCCTTGCATACAAAATGTGCCATTTGCAAAATCTCATTAGGTATTCACTATGTATCATTTTCTTGGTAATTCATTGTTGTGTTGGG